CAGAGCGCTACTGAGACTGGGACCAGACCGGGACCAGAGCGGGACCAGACCGGAGGCTCAGAGCCCACGGCCGGAGCTCGAAGCTGAGGCTCGGAGTCAAAGCTCGGAGTCCGCCCTGGTCCCGCTCTGGTCTCAGTCTGGTCCCGGTCTCAGTCCCGCTCTGGTTCCAGTCCTGGTTCAGTCTGTACGTGGTGCAAAAGTCCGATATCGCAGTCACAGAAGTCACGTAAACGGCTGTTATCCGTTTTTTCCATTCTTCATTTAAACACAAAATTGAAAACTGAAAAAACAAATCGTTATCCATTTTTTTCATTTTGGTTTTGGAAACAAATAGTAAAGAAAACTGTTGTTTTTTCGTTTTCTTATTTTTGGTTTTATATTGAAAACCGAATGAACGAATGATACACGGATTAGAACAGTCTGGTCTTTGGCAATATTTTTAAATCTTTGTTGAAAACTTATTTGTTTGCATTGGCTTTTAACACAAGCTGAGCAGGACACGTGTATTGTTTTGTTTTATTGTGTTTTTGTTGCCTGTGGACAGCACTTTGGGCAGCTGTGGTTGTTTTTTTTAAAAATGTGCTTTATAAATAAACTTGACAATTTTTTATTTAATTTTAATTTGATTTTGATTAATGTTACTTTTTATACATTTTATAGTTTTAACAGTTTTTAGCTTTATGTATTCTAATGTTTTTAATTTATCGTTTTTATTTAATTTGTCTGTAAATCTGTGTCTAAACATGACTTTGGAAACTGTCGTGTTTATAAAATGTGCTGTATGAATAAAGTGGATTGATTGAATAAAACATTTGGGATGATCTGATTTTGGTTTCTTCTTTCTTTGCTTGTTGCAGTAATGGACAGTTTTTACGTGCCAAGACTAGAGAGAAGAATTTGTGCACTGAATAAAAACCAAACTAGCCACTCAAAACCAGAAGTTGTGTGGTGGGAGTGTGGAGCCTCACTGGTCTTCATCTGCGCGGCGAGCACTTCCTGAGCGGACAGAGACAGAAGACACACCAGGTCACTCACGGAGCAGTTCGTCTGACGAGAAAAACTCTTCCCCAACTTCACTGCGTCGTGTCTGAAAGAGAAAAGGAGTTTACGGACTGGAGAGAGGAGAAACACTGAGATACAACCAGAAATCTAATGGAGGATTGTCAAAAGTATCTGAAATGGGACCGGAGGGTGTGTTCCAACTACAGGGGAATCACACTCCTCAGCCTTCCCGGTGAAGTCTATGCCAGGGACTGGAGGAGAATCCGGCCGATAGTCGAACCTCAGATCCAGGAGGAGCAGTGTGGTTTTCGTCCTGACCGGGGAACACTGGACCAGCTCTACACTCTCCATCGGTGCTCGAGGTTCATGGGAGTTTGCCTCAACCAGTCCACATGTGTTTTGTGGACTGGTTTGTGGAGAAGGCATTCGACCGTGTCCCTCGTGGTGTCCTGTGGGGGGCGCTCTGGGAGTATGGGGTCCGGGGCCCTTTGCTAAGGTCTGTCCGGTCCCTGTACGACCGGAGCAGGAGCTGTGTTCATTGCCGGCAGTAAGTCAGACCTGTTCTGTTCATTGCATTTCTGGACAGAATTTCTAGGCGCAGTCAGGGGCCGGAGGGGGTCCGGTTCGGGGACCACAGGATTTCATCTCTGCTGTTTGCAGATGATGTTGTCCTGTTGGCTTCATCGAACCAGGACCTGCAACACGGGGGCGTGTGAAGTGTGAAGCGGCTGGGATGAAGATCAGCTCTTCCAAATCCGAGGCCATGGTTTTTGACTGGAAAAAGGTGTCTTGTCGTCTCCGGGTGGGTGGAGAGTCCCTGCCTCAAGTGGAGGAGTTCAAGTATCTCAGGGTCTTGTTCACGAGTGAGGGGAGGATGGAGCGTGAGATTGACAGGTAGATCGGTGCCGCGTCTGCAGTGATGTGGTCGCTGTATCGGACCGTTGTGGTGAAGAGGAGCTGAGCCGAAATACGAAGCTCTCGATTTATCGTCAGTCTACGTTTCTCCCCTCACCTCTGGTCATGAGCTCTGGGTAATGACTGAAAGGACGAGATCGCTGTTGAAATGAGTTTCCTCCGCAGGGAGTCTGGGCGCTCCCTTAGAGACAGGGTGAGGAGCTCAGTCACACAGGAGGAGCTCAGAGTAGAGCCGCTGCTCCTCCACGTCAACAGGAGCAGCTGAGCTGAGGGGAGGGCATCTGTTCTGATGCCTCCTGGGCGTCTCCCTCAGGAGGTGTTCCGGGCATGTCCCATCGTAACGAGGCCCTGGGGAAGACTCAAGAAAAACCTGTAATGTCTTAAAACGTCTTGTTTAAAGTCCTGACCTGGTTTTGAGCGGGATGGAGAAGGGCAGACTCTGGAGCACAGCCTGTCTGAACAGAGGAGCACTGCTCTGCATCATCAGGTGGAGACTCACAGACTGGGCCCCAGCGCTCTCCCCGAAGATGGTCACCTGACGAACACAGCACACACAGGACAGCTCACATTAATGAACATCAATTAACACATGTGGGAATTGATAATAATAACAATGAATCAGTTTTATATAGTGCTTTTTTGAGTTTTTACAGTTCTTTATTCACTCACTCCATTTTTAATAACTAATAATACAGTAGATATATCAGGATTAAAACAAGGATTAGATCAGAACTAAACCAGAACTAAACCAGGACTAAACAAGGACTTTACCTTCCCGGGGTCGCCTCCGAACACAGCGATGTTGCGTTGGACCCAGAGCAGCGCCGCCTGCTGGTCGAGTATCCCATAATTCCCCACTGCAGAAGAGAGCGGGTCCTTCCCCGACACCAGGTAACCAAACGCCCCTACAGAAACAAACAAAGTCACACTGTGAAAACATTTCAATTTATTACAAACATTTATTTGAATTATATTTTCTGTTTTACATTTCAGGTTTTTTAGTTGCTTTTCTTTAAAGACTCAAATTAACTCAAAATCTTATGAGCTTGTTTCCTCCTCAAAAATCTGGAGTTGTGTTTGTTTTGTTTCATTCACATGTTTGAGTAACTCTTTATTATTAGTCTGTCATTTCCAAAGCTCAAAATGCTCTGTTCCAACTTGTGATGTCATGAAGTGATCGTTTTTGACAGTTCGTTTTACCTTTTGTTCAGTAGAGATTGGCACTTCCAGGTTTTTTTTGTTTCCAATTGTTTTGTGTGTTTAGTTCTATTCTAGTCCTGGTTTAGTCCTGGTTTAGTTTTGGTTTAGTCCTGGTCTAGTCCTGGTCTAGTCCTGGTCTAGTCCTGGTCTAGTCCTGTTTTATTCCTGGTCTTGTCTTGGTTTAGTCTTGATCGAGTCCTGGTTTAGTCCCAGTGTAGTCATGGTCTAGATCTAGTCTAGTCCCGTTTAGTCGTGGTTCAGTCCTGGTCTAGTCCTGGTTTAGTCCTGGTCTAGTCCTGGTCTAGTCCTGGTCGAGTCCTGGTTAAATCCTGGTTTATTCCTGGTCTAGTCTTAGTTTAGTCTTGGTCTAGTCCTTGTCTAATCCTGGTTTAGTTCTAGTGTAGTGGTGGTCTAGTCCTGGTCTAGTCCAGGTTTAGGCCCAGTGTAGTCCTGGTTTAGTCTTGGTCTAGTTCTGGTTTATTCCTGGTCTAGTCTTGGTTTAGTCTTGGTCTAGTCCTTGTTTAGTCCTAGTGTAGTCGTGTTCTAGTTCTGGTTTAGTCCTGGTTTAGTCTTGGTTTAATCCTGGTCTAGTCCTGATCTAGTCCTGGTCTCTTCCTGCTTTAGTATTTATTTACTTATTTATTTATTAAAAACCACCAAAAACAAAAAAAAAAAAAAAAAAACAGGGATGTCCCAGTTTTTTATTTCAAAATTCTAGTCGCCCTAGCATTGTGTCACCATGGTAACTACTTAGCATTCCACCACAGACAAAAACGTAGAACACCCCTCACTACAAGGTCATCAGGGCCCCATGTTTGCCCCCGCCCCTTTCACCGACCCAGTCTGTAGTCCATGCTGACCACCACCGTGCGCGTGAAGTTACTGATGAAGCGTCCGTCGTACAGGGGCTTGGAGGCGGAGCCGGCGATGAAGTCCCCCCCGTGGATCCAGACCAGGACCGGGAGGGGGGTCCAGAGGGGCACGGTCAGGTTCACGTCCAGAGGCACAAAGATGTTCAGGTACAAGCAGTCCTCACTCACCTGGACACAACAGGAGGAGGGACAAGTGTGGTGAAGCAACGCACTTTACACGGGCATCTCTCAAAATGCACTTTAAATGGGCGTCTCTCATAATGCACTTTACACGGGCATCTCTCAAAATGCACTTTAAAGGGCGTCTCTCAAAATGCACTTTAAATGGGCGTCTCTCATAATGCACTTTACACGGGTGTCTCTCAAAACACACTTTACACAAAACGCACTTTACACGGGCGTCTCTCAAAATGCACTTTAAACGGGCGTCTCTCAAAATGCACTTTAAACGGGCGTCTCTCAAAATGCACTTTAACTGGGCGTCTCTCAAAATGCACTTTAAACGGGCGTCTCTCAAAATGCACTTTAAACGGGCGTCTCTCAAAATGCACTTTACACGGGCGTCTCTCAAAATGCACTTTAAACGGGCGTCTCTCAAAATGCACTTTAAACGGGCGCCTCTCAAAATGCACTTTAAATGGGCGTCTCTCATAATGCACTTTAAATGGGCGTCTCTCATAATGCACTTTAAATGGGCGTCTCTCATAATGCACTTTAAATGGGCGTCTCTCAAAATGCACTTTAAACGGGCGTCTCTCAAAATGCACTTTAAATGGGCGTCTCTCAAAATGCACTTTAAATGGGCGTCTCTCAAAATGCACTTTAAATGGGCGTCTCTCAAAATGCACTTTAAATGGGCGTCTCTCATAATGCACTTTAAATGGGCGTCTCTCAAAATGCACTTTAAACGGGCGTCTCTCAAAATGCACTTTAAACGGGCGTCTCTCAAAATGCACTTTAAACGGGCGTCTCTCAAAATGCACTTTAAATGGGCGTCTCTCATAATGCACTTTAAATGGGCGTCTCTCAAAATGCACTTTAAATGGGCGTCTCTCAAATGCACTTTAAACGGGCGTCTCTCATAATGCACTTTAAACGGGCGTCTCTCAAAATGCACTTTAAATGGGCGTCTCTCAAAATGCACTTTAAATGGGCGTCTCTCAAAATGCACTTTAAATGGGCGTCTCTCAAAATGCACTTTAAATGGGCGTCTCTCATAATGCACTTTAAACGGGCGTCTCTCAAAATGCACTTTAAACGGGCGTCTCTCAAAATGCACTTTAAACGGGCGTCTCTCAAAATGCACTTTAAATGGGCGTCTCTCATAATGCACTTTAAATGGGCGTCTCTCAAAATGCACTTTAAATGGGCGTCTCTCAAAATGCACTTTAAACGGGCGTCTCTCATAATGCACTTTAAACGGGCGTCTCTCAAAATGCACTTTAAATGGGCGTCTCTCAAAATGCACTTTAAATGGGCGTCTCTCAAAATGCACTTTAAATGGGCGTCTCTCAAAATGCACTTTAAATGGGCGTCTCTCAAATGCACTTTAAATGGGCGTCTCTCATAATGCACTTTAAATGGGCGTCTCTCAAATGCACTTTAAATGGGCGTCTCTCAAAATGCACTTTAAACGGGCGTCTCTCATAATGCACTTTAATGGGCGTCTCTCAAAATGCAAAATGGGCGTCTCTCAAAATGCACTTTAAATGGGCGTCTCTCAAAATGCACTTTAAATGGGCGTCTCTCAAAATGCACTTTAAACGGGCGTCTCTCAAAATGCACTTTAAATGGGCGTCTCTCATAATGCACTTTAAATGGGCGTCTCTCAAAATGCACTTTAAATGGGCGTCTCTCATAATGCACTTTAAACGGGCGTCTCTCAAAATGCACTTTAAACGGGCGTCTCTCATAATGCACTTTAAATGGGCGTCTCTCATAATGCACTTTAAATGTGCGTCTCTCAAAACACACTTTACATGAGCGTCTCTCTCAAAATGCACTTTAAACGGGCGTCTCTCATAATGCACTTTACACGGGCATCTCTCAAAATGCACTTTAAATGGGCGTCTCTCAAAATGCACTTTAAATGGGCGTCTCTCAAAATGCACTTTAAACGGGCGTCTCTCAAAATGCACTTTAAATGGGCGTCTCTCATAATGCACTTTAAATGGGCGTCTCTCAAAATGCACTTTAAATGGGCGTCTCTCAAAATGCACTTTACATGGGCGTCTCTCAAAACACACTTTACACAAAACGCACTTTACACGAGCGTCTCTCAAAACACACTTTACACAAAACGCACTTTACACGAGCGTCTCTCAAAATGCACTTTAAATGGGCGTCTCTCATAATGCACTTTAAATGGCGTCTCTCATAATGCACTTTAAATGGGCGTCTCTCAAAATGCACTTTAAATGGGCGTCTCTCATAATGCACTTTAAATGGGCGTCTCTCAAAATGCACTTTAAACGGGCGTCTCTCATAATGCACTTTAAATGGGTGTCTCTCAAAATGCACTTTAAACGGGCATCTCTCAAAATGCACTTTAAATGGGCGTCTCTCAAAATGCACTTTAAATGGGCGTCTCTCAAAATGCACTTTAAATGGGGTCTCTCATAATGCACTTTAATGGGCGTCTCTCAAAATGCACTTTAAATGGGCGTCTCTCAAATGCACTTTAAATGGGCGTCTCTCAAAATGCACTTTAAATGGGCGTCTCTCAAAATGCACTTTAAATGGGCGTCTCTCATAATGCACTTCAAATGGGCGTCTCTCAAAATGCACTTTAAATGGGCGTCTCTCATAATGCACTTTAAATGGGCGTCTCTCAAAATGAACTTTAAATGGCGTCTCTCAAAATGCACTTTAAATGGGCGTCTCTCAAATGCACTTTAAATGGGCGTCTCTCAAAATGCACTTTAAATGGGCGTCTCTCAAAACACACTTTACACGGGCATCTCTCAATAATGCACTTTAAATGGGCGTCTCTCATAATGCACTTTAAATGGGCGTCTCTCATAATGCACTTTAAATGGCGTCTCTCAAATGCACTTAAATGGGCGTCTCTCAAATGCACTTTAAATGGGCGTCTCTCAAAACGCACTTTAAACGGGCGTCTCTCAAAATGCACTTTAAATGGGCGTCTCTCATAATGCACTTTAAATGGGTGTCTCTCAAAAATGCACTTTAAATGGGCGTCTCTCAAAATGCACTTTAAATGGGCGTCTCTCATAATGCACTTTAAATGGGCGTCTCTTAACACTTTAAACGGGCGTCTCTCATAATGCACTTTAAATGGGCGTCTCTCAAAATGCACTTTAAATGGGCGTCTCTCAAAATGCACTTTAAATGGGCGTCTCTCAAAATGCACTTTAAATGGGCGTCTCTCAGAACGCACTTTACACGAGCGTCTCTCAAAACGCACTTTACACAAAATACACTTTAAAACGTCTCTCAAAACAATTTATGTGATCGTCTCTCCAAACATACTTTATACGGGCGTCTCTCAAAACGCACTTTACACGAGCGTCTCTCAAAACGCACTTTACACAAAACACACTTTACACGAACGTCTCTCAAAACGCAATTTATATGATCGTCTCTCCAAACATACTTTATACGGGCGTCTCTCAAAACGCACTTTACATAAGTGTCTCTCAAAATGCATGAAATGCACTTTACACAGGCATGTCTTCAAACGCATTTTACACGTGCATCTCTCAGAACGCACTTTACTTTTGCTGTAACAAAATAATTTAGTAAAATATACCAAAAAATACTCTTGGTGATATATCGATACAGCAGCCCACGATATTGATACTGTATCATCACATTAAATTATACGATATATCGATACTTTGATATTTTTGCACACCCCTACCAGCAGGTGGAACCACCAGGCCAAGCTACAGGTCAGATCTGTTTTTTGTTTTTTTTTGTGCGTGCAAAACAAGCCTGTGATTAATGAAATGCAAGACATGTTCAAGTGGCGGACAAACGACAGAAAAGTTACACCAAGTTATTAGACGTATATTCAGTTCAAATTAGACCTACTGTATATGTTTGAATGAGAATAACAAGAAAACACTTAAACATTTAAGATAAGCCTTATTCAGTTTTGACCAAACACTGTAAAACTACCACCAAACCTGAGCAGAAATGTCCTTCAGGAGCACCGTTCCTGTTGGTGACTAGATTTTCAAAATTCTAAACTGGGACAGACCCGGGTTGGAATGTTTGGTATAAATAAAATAATGAAAAGAGCGTGGAACATTGTGCACTGTCGTGTCAGTCATAATCTGAGGGACTTCTGTCCCTGCGTTTTTTTGCTTTATGGTCATTCGCAAACACGCTTTTCTGTCTTTTGGCAAAACAAATGACAAATTATGCTTGTTTTTTCTGTTGGCAGGAATCAGATTAGTCAGAAATTGTGATAGTCCTGTTTTAGTCCTGGTTTAGCGTTGATGTAGTCCTGGTTTAATCTTAGTTTAGTCTTGGTTTAGATCAGATTTGTCAAAAATAGGGACACCTGGGAAATCTGGTCATGATCTTAATCAATTTACCTGGGACAGTCCCAGTTTTGTAGTCAGGCTGGTGCCACCTAGTGCCTCTGCTCAATTTAATTTTTCTCCAGCAACTAGGTCAGGAATCATAATACAACAGACAGTTCACAAAAACCCCGGATGTGTGAGTTCGGGCACCAGCCAATCAGCGAAGAGTCATATATTCTGTGTTGTCAATTCCCAAGATCGAGGATTTAAAGCCGGAACAAAGAGAAGGTTTGGTGAATTTTATAAAGGGGAAAGACGTTATTGCCCTTCTTCCTACAGGATTTGGGAAAAGCTTAATATACCAGTTAACCCCGTTAGCGGCGCATTATATATGTCATGACCAAATAGCAGCGATTGGTTAAATGAAGTGAAACCGGCTGATGAATCAGGCTACCAGTTTTGAGCCAAGTTACACCAAGTTATCAGACCTATATTCATTTCAAATTGGACCTACTTTGTGTTCAAATTAGACGTATATTCGGTTCAGATTAGACATATATTGTGTTCAAATTGGACCTATATTCTCTTAAATGCGTCTTGTATTGAGTAAAGTGTTCCTCACGTGTCTGGGGCACTCCTCGGTGATGGGCCCGGTGCAGGCCTGCATACACGCCGCTCGGGGGTACGTGGCGTCGTACACTCCCGACCAGGGGCTCGCGGGCCTGGGGGGCTTCCAGCGGTACGCCCCTGTGGGAGGACCGGCGTACGGGACCCCATAAAACACATGAGCTTTGTCCAGGGTCAAACCTCGGATCTGCCCATTTTTGGTCCACACCACCGGCCCAGAAACCCCGTTAAAATCCACCTTCTCCTCGTCTGGAGTTTGGACATTTTCTGGAACATCTAAATTCAGCTCCTGGTTTCCAACTGGAGGCTCATCCCGCACCAAAAATCCTGGAAAGAAGCTTTTTAAAAATCCAGCGAAATCAATAATATCTCCATCGTCTGTCCACGTAAATCCCGGAGCGAGCAGGGAAGCGAACAGCAGCGACAAAACCTGGCAGCTTTGCATTTTGGATCCACGAAATGACCTTAAAACATGGCAGGAGTCGTGCAGAGACGGGAGAGCGCAGGGAGGACAGGAGAGGTCTTGTGATTTTGTGAGAGTTACGAGACAAAGCAGAAGTTGTGTGTGGAAGAGGAACAGGGGAGGACGGTAACGCAGGACACGTCGTCTTTGGTTTGGGTTAATTCAATCACTGAGTCACACGAAAAAGAAATGCCACAGACTGAAACTGAAAGAGGTCAGAAGAGAGAGACGCCTGTTCAAATTATAGAAACGAAGCTCAATACAGTAAAATAGTACAGATGGAGATGGTATGACTTGGTTGGTGGGATAATGTGGTCAATATTTATTGTAGTTTTAAAACAGTTAAATCAGTCAGTTTGTGGTGGGAAAAAAGTTGAAATCAAAACTACAAAAAATACAGGAAGTAGCACTGAATTCTATAAGAGTCATCAAAATGAAAAATTCCATCTAAAATGCACAAGGAAAGCATTTTTCTTAGGGTGACCAGACGTTCCTATTTACTCGGGACAGTCCCAGTTTTGAGCCTGTGTCCCCTGTCCCAACAGATTTATACAAATCAATTATTGTCCCAGATTTATACAAAAAATGTCCCAGACGTCCATTAGTGTTATAACTTCTTTACAGCCTCTATACCCTGTATCATATTGTGATGAACTTTTGCGAGTAATGAAAGGAATTGACCTTCAGTTGGTTGTATTTTTGAAAAAAGTTCCCACGGACTCAAAATGAAGTTTTGGTAAAGTCTCCCAACAACCAACAGAATAAAACTGTTAGAAGGTTAATATCTGTTCAATCACAAAATTGATTGAGTGTGTCTCCAGCGTCTCTGTACGTGGCCCCTCCCACCAGAGCAGCACAAATGAAGACTTGTCTCTTTCCAAACGCTCTTAAAGGACGATCGTTTTGACTGTTGACCGTGACACCCTCATCAGAAAAATGTCCAACATGAGAAAAGTGGAGCCGAGTGCAGGATTTTACAACAAAAACTGACTTATTCCTATTTGCAAACAAGTTAATGTTAAAACTTTGTGTTGAAATTGCATTTTTCTTAAAGTTTCAGGTTGTTCATAATATTATAATATTTTGTAAAAGAAAGAGTTCATTAATTAAAAAAGATTTCTGTAATAGATTTGTGTTTCTCTGCACAAATATTTGAACTTATTGTTATTTTTGGGGTTTATTTGACATGAGTTTTCTGATCCGGCCTTTTGGGATCAAAGTAGATTGGATACGACCCCCAGAACAAAATGAGTTTAACACCTCTGGTATAGAGCATTAAATGCCACTACAACTACACACAAATACTAGATTAGGTTAAAGATTTCCTTTAGAATAACCTTCTTCACGTGTTGCTTCTGTAATATTAGCCTTTCAGTGATCAGACGTCACTATTGACCCGGGACAGTCCCAGTTTTGAGCCTGTGTCCCCTGTCCCTGCACATTTATACAAAACCAATGATTTGTCCCAGTTTTATACAAGACATGTCCCAGGCGTCCCTATTTTTGACCAATCTGATCTACACCAGGACTAAACTAAGACTAAACCAGGACTACATCAGGTCAAAACCAGGACTATCACAATTTTTGACTAATCAGATTCCCGTCAAGAGCATAAATTGTCATTTGTTTTGCCAAAATACAAAAAAATCATGTTTGCAAATGACCATATAGCAAAAAAATGCAGCTTCAGAAGTCCCTCAGATCATGACTGACACGAGAATGCACAATATTACTCACTCTTTTCACAATTTTATTTATACCAAACATCCCAACCCGAGTCTGTCCCAGTATGGAATTTTGAAAATGTGGTCACTCTATATTAGCCCACAAATTCTGAACACAACCTATAAAAATCCACCTACCTGACAAACCCATAAAGTCCAGAGTTAGAACGTCCCAGGTGCAGTGAAGGCGGCGCACACCTGTCACACATTAGGACCATGTGACTGCAGCCAGGCCCCAAACACACAAGCGCGCGCACACACACACAGAGGCATGTTTGAATGGGAATAACAAGAAAACACTGAAACATTTAAGACAATCCTTATTCAGTATTGACCAAACAATCAATTTACTGTCAATTTAACGCCAAACCTGAGCAGAAATGTCCTTCAGCAGCACCGTTCCTGTTCTGTGCAGCTTCCTGGTGTTGCTTCTTCTTGGAATCTCTCTCGGTGAGTAGCGTGATGTTTAATTCTTAGTGTGAACCTGTGTAAAAAAGTGTAGACATTCTTTTCAATCTAGGCTGACCAGATTTTTCAAAATATAAAACTGGAACATGCCTTTTTTGTGGTGGTTTGTAATAATAAAACTGTGAAACGAGCGCGAAATTAAGGAAAACTGTTCTGCACTCAGCTCTAATGCTTTAAATAGAGGCATAAAATTGTCACGTGTTTCGGTAAAATACAGAAAAGCTGCTCAAAAACGACCAAAACGCAAAGAAAATGTGACTATACGGACTCATTTTTAAGCAGCTTTTCTGTATTTTATTGAAAAAAGTGACAATTTATGCCTCTATTTACTGTTGGCAGGGATCAAACTGGTCAAAAATAGCATCACATGGGACATTTTTGTGTATAAAACGGGGACAAATCAGTGGTTTTGTGTAAATCTGCTGGGACAGGGGACACAGTGCTCTGGGTAAACGGGGACGTCTGGTCACTCTATTTATATCTGTGTTTCAGGGCGCTGCAGTGACATTTCCTTCTCTCTGTGTTGGTTTAACAAGAATCATGGTTTGGAAAGGTATGTTCAAAATAAATCTTAAAAATAATTTCTTGTTTCGTTTCAAAAGTCACTCTCTTCTCGGTGTTTGAGAGAAGTCAGAACTCAGCCTAAATCTGCAGGGTTTGTGTGTTAAACATGTGTGAATGAAACAAAACACAACTCCAGCTCTGTTTGTGATGAGGAAACTACATTACCGTAAATTCCGGACTATAAGCCGCTACTTTTTTCTCACACTTTGAACCCTGCGGTGAATATATCGACCGATTCTTTGTTTGGCACATTGTCCATTCATATAAACGGTCTATGGTTTGGTAACACAACGGATACATGCAGCCTGAGAGCAGAAAACGGCGCTGTCTGTGCGATTTACACATGGATCTAGGTTTAAAGGTGCCACACGAGCTCGCGATATTGTCAGCGCACTCAAAATAGTTTATCGGAGTGTGGATAAAATAAGTTATGATGCTAAATGAACATTAGTGAGGGGGATACGTCTTACCCGTGTGTGTAAATGACGAGAAGAAACGTCTCAAACTTCAGTAGCTGCACATCCACTCACACCTGATCCATACACCTGTCCCCGCCCCCGAGAGACTCTGAAATCTGCTGAAATCCTCCAAAACACTGACATGATAAAGACAGAACAGAGACTCTTTCTGCAGGAGACATGAGCAGTAGAGCGCGGGGAGAGACGGGGATGATGATGCGCTGAGGAAGATGCTCGTTTGATTGTGTTGTGTGACAGCTTTTAAGTTAAAGTCAATTGATGTGATTCTGGAAGAAGGAAAACAGCACGTGAACTTGACGTCAGTGAGTGGATGTTCTCTCGTCGGTGTTGGTTCATCCTCTTGTGAAGTAGCTGTTTAGTTTCTCCAATGTAGCGTTCACTGCAGTCTTCACTGTACTGAAGAAGCAGCTTGGATGAGCTGCGAAACATCTTCAACCAAACCAACTTTTGTCCAGTCGACAAACTTAATTTTCTCCTCGCCGTGGATTCTACCTGGACGACTGAGGGATTCTTCACACAAAGCCCAGAGTCACTGTGAACGCGACAAACAAAGTCCCACTGACCCACCCAACTGTTGTTTCCTTTAAAGTCCGGTGCAGTTTATCTGTGAAAAAAGTTTGAAAGTAGACCATTCTATGACCGTGCGCCTTATAATCCAGAGCACCTAATGGTGCATAAAATATGGTATCTGCCCGCCTAAGGTTTCCCCTCCTCGCCCAACGTAGTCAAAAGAAACCCAATCTGGCATCACTGGATGCTTTAAAAAAAAGTAAACCCTTTTATTACCTCCGCCAAGGAGGTTATGTTTTTGCCGGCGTCTGTTTGTTTGTTTGTTTGTTTGTCTGTTAGCAACATAGCTCAAAAAGTTATGGACCGATTTTTGATGAAATTTTCAGGATTTGTTGGAAATGTGAAAAGGAAGAACTGATTTCATTTTGGGGGTGATCCGGAAGAAATTGTGGATTCTGGATCACTTTGAAATTTTAGTTAACATTGTGGTAAATGGGGCCAAAAATTTTGTTTCTCAATATCTCGGTTAATTATTGACCAAACCCCATGAAATTTGACTCAGGGATGGACAATCGGATCCTCTTTCATATTGCAAATTGAAAGATACAAGACAAATATTTATGGAAAACACAATTAATATGAGGGGGACTGTAGTCCTTGGCGGAGGTCTGCGCTCTCTGAGTGCTTTTCTAGTTGCAAAATGGTTTCGTTCATAGATTTCACTTTGTTCACGATATGTTTCTGTATTTTGACGTTGTTCATTCGTTGACTCGTGACGTCTTGTGTTGCAGTCAGCGTTATAATATCTGGCTGAACGGGACGGCGGTGGGCTCCATACAGAGAGCAGAGAAAGTGACCTCGCTCACGGTGTACGCGGACATAGAAAACAAACTCACCCTTCAGTATGAACGCTCCACCGTCACCTGGGTCTTCACTCTCAACCAGCGTGAGTAATGCAGGAAAACGACGATATTCTGCATGATTCTAGTCTAATGATTCACACAGACTTTTCTTTTTGTTATAGGCACAAGACGCACCAAAGTCAAAGGCACGGTGAAGCCGACAGATCAGCCGACCAACGCGACTCTGGTAATGTTTAGTTTAGTTTTAATGTGAAGAGATGATGTGCAAAGATTAGGGATGGGCATGATTAGTCGATTAATCGATAATTGATCATTAAGAATTTCATCAATTACATTCATTTTAATCGACAAACTGAATGCAGGTTGATGTGTGTATCGTGACCAAACAGGTGTGTACATGTGTCTATGCATCAGAAGGAGCGAGACACAAACAGTGGGTCAGTCTGTAACGAACCGAAGCACAAATGTGTATTTAACGATGATTTGTACAAGAAATTCCACTCTTTCCGTTCCGGTTGGGACAAGTGTGAGTCCATGTGCACAGTGGATAAAGCAGCACATATGTTTCGATGTTCGGTGGGAAAAAGTTTTTCCAGGTGAGAGTCGCGCAATGTGGATGACGAGGCCCCGCCCCCCTCCCCCCGTACGCTGTCCTGGTTTTGACAAACGCAAATATGGTCACACTAACCTGTATTCACCTGAGTCATGTCTTTTAATCTGACAGAAATTGAATCACATCAGCGACACAAGAGCTGGAGTTTTATCTTCGCTTAGTTTATGCAAATTATCCATGCGTTTTTAAGTTTTGTTTCTGTGAGAGTTGAACAAAACTGAATTAAACACATTATAATGTCAAACGGGCTGATGTGGCTCTAGAGTCGTTATGGTTTATATGTCGTAAAGTAGAATTTATTTATGCAGATTATTAGTGTAGATAGTAAAAATGATGATCATTTTAATATAAAAACGTTAATGATTAATCGATAATCGATCGTTAATTCCTCCTACGATCGATTAAGAAAATTTCATCGAATTTCATCCCTAGCAAAGATATTAAAATCTGTTCATGTTCCAATGGGGCTGGACAAACACTTTTTTGTGTTTGTCCAGATTCTGATAAACTGAACTGAACTCTCGATCTCATGGAAATCTGTAACCCACTTATTTTTAGTCAAATCAACAATCAAATAAAAAAAAATAACCCACAAATTAAAAAAAAAAAAAAAAAGTAATAGGAATTTTGTATGAATTTCACCTGGACTTTTTTTTGCCTCATTTACAAGTTCCTAAATCTTATGTTTAGTGAAATCTGCTTTAGCTTTGACATGGGGAATTGTCCATGTCTAAGGCCAACCCCAGGGACTTCAGTTTTACCAGTTCTTATATTTACCCCCCAAAAATGTAAGGAGAATTTGAAATCTGACTTTCCTCTGTGTAGAGCTTGTTCACTCTTAAAATGGGAGTGGATCAGATGCAGAGGTCAAAACACCAGAGCCTCAGCTTCACAACGAGTCCAACCATTTGTCTGTGTTCCAAAGAGTTCAGAAACAGAAACAGTTTGAATTGAGTCATCTTGGTCAAGCATTTTAGGAAAAATATGCCAAAACAATAAGCGGTTAAAGGGATAGCCTGGAATTTTGGACATAGGACCTCATTTCCTCGTGATCCAGAGTGTTGGAGACGTGTGGAGACACTTTTTAAAAATATTCCATCCAGTCCTTGTATTTGCAGAGGTCACTGGTGTTAGACTAGTGCAGGTCAATGGTCATAATTATCCTGCCACTAAAAACAGTCTTACCCACTCCACAAAACACCCGAAGAAAATCTATTATTACACCAGACTGTCCATGTGAATGTCATGACAATAGAATAATGTTTGAAATGAAACTAATCTTGCATCGCATGAATCGTCACGTGTTGAGGGACTATTTTCTCACCAGCAGCGGAACTGTCGAGCTTTCTACCAGGAAGTACAACTCGCTGCTGCTGCTCAGTAGCCAGACTGGCGCCACCTAGTGCCTCCGCTTAATTTAATTTCTCTCCAGCGACTAGGTCAATAATCAGAATACACTAGACGGTTTGCAAGAACCCCGGAAGTTGTAGACCGTGCATCGGCCACCGGTCAGCGAAGAGCTGTGAAGCCCTGACATCAAACTCAAGACGTCTGTTTGTGTCCCTTTTGTTGAACAGCACAACAGTAAACAAAGCGTCGAGATGGATGTAGATGAAGACATTCTGTGATGGCAACGATTCCCGAGATCGAGGATTTAAAGCCGGAACAAAGAGAATGTTTGGTGAATTTTATCAAGGGGAAAGACGTTATTGTCCTTCTTCCTACGGATTTGGGAAAAGCTTAATATACAAGTTAGTCATGACCAAATAGCAGTGATTGGTTAAATTTAAAATGTACCTGCCCACCGTCGAGCGAACGAATCCTAATGCTGCGAGGTCAGATGGTTTCCACAGAGTGAAACTGACTGATGAAATAGACTAACTGTTCAGACATAAATCCTTCAAATGCAAGGTTGGTTTTACTTTTTAAATTATTCTAACACATAGATTTACATCGACAGTCTGGTGTAATAATAGATTTCCTGTGTGAAGATGTGGGTCTGGTCACTGAAGAATCTTATGAATAAGCGAGATTGACAGGTGGATTAGCCAATCAGGTTCATGTTAATTTCTGGCAGAAGGAGTGAGGACCAGACTAATGTCCCTCTGTGTAAAAATACATAAAGATCTGGTCAGGCAAACAAAAGCAGGATAATAAATGTGCTTATTTCTTTTCAGGGTTTGCTGCAGAGGCTCAGTCGGTCTGAGGTGTTCGCCTGTGAAAACAGTACTCTGTTCTTCCACCAGGGGGGTGGCTTCTTTCTGGCCACTGGTGAGAAACTTTCAGTTGTACCATGATCAGATCAGATCATGATTACTGTGTTAACATTATCGTTCTCTCCTGACCAGGTTACACCACCCGTCTGCCGGTGAAGCTGGAGTCCAGGAGTAGCTCCATGCTGCGTCTGTCCTGGAAGACCCCTCTGCCGCCTCCTGCCCCGGCCAAGGCTCACGCTGTGGGGCTGTACAGGTCTGAGCTGGCCTCCTTCATCCTCCAGCGCCGGGAGACCACCAGAGACCCCCACCACCGGTTCACAGCACTGGACTCCTGCTCAGTGTATGTGCCCTGTGTGGAGATCTCAGGAACCCACTCGCTCACCTGTCTGTCCACTATCACAGGTAACTGCAGTGACAAAACTCAAGACAAAATACAAACAGTCACATTTTTATACAGTGTTTTTGCTCAAAGCACTTTATATCCAGGAACCACTCACTCGTTCATACACCGGTGTACACGGGCGGCAGTAGCTCAGTTGGTAGAGTCAGAAGCGGTGCTTCCTTTAGGCAAAAGTAGGCGGTCACTTAGGTCTACTGACATAGACACAAAACCTTAATCACAGTCAGTTGGCGAGCCCATTGTCGGAAACTACACCAGAAGTTGTCATCGCGTGTTTCCAAACGTCTTCCCGGTTTGTGACGTAAGCGTGAGTAGAGTCAATAACATCAAGCAGGTAGTCGACTGTTCACTAGAAAAGTTAAACAGTGTAGCTTTAACTTAACAGCTTTTGTCTCCTCCAGACCCGGACGAGCCCAGAGACCTGCAGGTGTCCTCGGTGAACAGCAGCAGTCTGTATGTGTCCTGGGACTGTCCCCCGAACAGGAAGTACTCCGCCTTCCTCCTCACCGTGTACCGCCACCGCCCCACCCTCGCCACCATCGCCCCGTCCCCGGCCCTTCCCCTCTCCACCCTCTCCACCCTCTCCACCCTCCCCACCCTCTCCACCCTCCCCCCTGTGGAGCGGGAGACACTCTTGGTCACGGATCCTCTGGAGTGGACCTTCGCGGACCTGCCCCCCTGCTCGCGCCTCAGTTTCGGGGTGCAGACGGTGTGCGTGAGCGGAGCCGAGACGCGGTACAGCCCCGAGATCAGCCACAAGGGCAACTCCGGTGAGGAACCAAGAGAACAATTTACCTGCAGGATTTAATGCTGGTGTTCCTGACTCTTCTCTTGTAAATAATAATAAGAGCTTTTAAACTAACGAAGTAGTATTTTCTACTGTGTCCATTGTCCTTCTAAGATGATTCTTTAGCAGATAACAGTGATGTAGAAGTTTGTAGCAGATGATGAGATATTTGTGAGGTCATGTGCGTACATTTTAGAGTTCTTTTTACACGGTGACTCATTATAAAACAAGTTTAACTGAAGATGAAGCCGAGTAAGTTCCTTTTGAAAAGTTTCTCAGAGTTTGTTGCAGCGTCTTCACTCATGCCGCTCAAGCCGACATCTTCAGGTGTGGCCCTGTCCTGCCGCTTCCCCAGTTTAGACAAATGTGAACTAAACAAAATGTGAACTAAAACCTGTTAAATTAATACTATAGAGTTTGGAAAATATCGAAATAAATTTATATTTTTGTTTATTAAAATAAAATGGCAAATATTGGTAGGGACTATTTTGTCTTCCCCAAATATTGGTTGTGACACGTCCCCACCGTCCCTATGCAAAACTACGCCCTTGCAAATTACCACCCCACCTCTCTGCTTGTCCTGTGTGAATGCGCGGCACACACAGTAACAAAGTCCTTAAACAACTCTATTTTACTGACACTGACTGAGACTGAAAGAGAAAAGAACACGGAAAGAAAAGAGAGGGATAGAAAAGGCACAATTATAACAAACACTGAGATGCAGATTCGCACGGGTCTAGTATTATCACCGGACGTCTGTTTGCCGAAATATAGTAGGTCATTTGTGTCAGAATTTTTACTTTGTCGCATTCACATGGGATTAAGATCTCAGAAATCCTCCACAATTATTACAAATCACGAAAGGCCCACAGGTCAAACTAATCCCGTGTGAAAAGGGCTTAACAGTGCTTTTTCAGACACTCAAATCACTGTTTAAATTTGGTGCATTATTCATTCACTTCACACTTAATGGTGGTGAGCTGTTACTGTAGCCACAGCTGCCCTGGGACAGACCGGGAGAAGTGAGGCTGCCAATCTAGATCCATCCAACATTCACACAACAGTTTTCACTAAAGCCGCTGTGTCCTCACTAGGGCTGGTATCATTAAGATGTTGCCGATACAATACATACCTCGATATACAGGCCACGATACGATACACATATAGATACAGTGAGGTTTTGATTTGATACGATATATTTCAATTCGATTCCATATGGTTCAATAAAAAATAAAGGCTAAATCATGGCTGTGACACTAAAAGTCTTTGTTAAACCACTTCTTGTGCAAAGTTCATATGAAACACAAAAAGTTTAATCATCAAAACAGTGAAAATGTCAAATGTGTCGCATAAACGAGTTTCTTTCCTCTAAACAAGCAACAAAACTGTAACTCTGTAACAAAATTATTTAATAAAGTATACCAAAAAATACTCTTGGCGATGTATCAAAACAGCAGCCCACGATATCGATACTATATCATCACATTAAACGATACGATATATCGATATTTGTGCGCACCCCTATTCACAACAGAATTATTTTGACCTCAAGACCCATTTAGTGCAAATACATGGTAGAAATTGGTTGCAGAGACTTTAACATTTTGAACACTTTCTTCCTCTGTTTCCTTCTCTTGTGCAGATCAGTCGGACATCTTGAACCTGGCTCAGTCCTCCTCTGGTCCGGACTGGGTCTCCGTGCAGTGGGAGGTGGGGCGGCTCTCGTCGGTGTCACGGTTCAGAGTGTCGCTTGACGGAGTGAAGCAGGGGAACACCTTAAAAACCAACTTCACTGTGAGGGGTCTGCAGCCCTGTCATACCTACTCCCTGACTGTGGAGGCGCTGTGTGGAGAGGGGATGGTCATGGACACTCAGACGGTACAGGTGCACACAGGTACGCGTCACGATATTCTAAAGGTGGAAAAGGTTAAATGACTGGTCGATAAACAGCTTTTTGTGGAAGGGTTATTCTTTTGAAAATGCCATGTGATCAACAGTGGTGGATGAAATGTAATACATTAAAGAATTCTGTTCACCTGCATTACAGGCACCTATGCTGTAAAATATTTTAACACGTGTTATAGGCCTTGAGCCTACTCTTTCATTTTGCACTAGCAACATTTTTTTTCTCTTTTTTCACATTGACGTGGATGATAAAGACTTATTTTATTTTTTTTATTTTTTTCATTTTGCACTAGCAACATTTTTTTCTCTCGTGTTTTTTTTTTTTTTTTCTTCTGTTATTTTATATCTTGGGCCATCACAAGTTGATAAGAACCAACCCCAACTCGGCCCTGTTTGGTCTCAGGGCCTAAAAAACGTTATTGGTGATTATGCAACTGTAAATATTAAGGTACGACAACTGCATAAATAGTCAAAATAACGCTAAAATTTTGCATGCCGTATCCTGACACATGGGGGAAACTAGCAGATAAATATTCTGGGGCTTGTTGCCTTTCTACTGTCAAATATCAACTTCAACATCCCCCAAAAGACACAAAAATGTCTGTCCGCCTGACAAATTGTCATCGAAAGTGATCATTTTCAAGCATTTTATTACATATAGTACCTTAATATTTACAGTTACATAATTTATTTTGCCAATAACCTTTCCTAAATAGTGTGTTTTAGGCCCTGAGACCAAACGGGCCGAGTTGGGAGTGGTCCCTATCAACTTGTGATGGCCCAGGATATATAATAACAGGAAATAATAGTGAAAAAAGGGTAGCAAAAAAACATCCTGAGGAGTGCACTCCTGATCTATTATAGTTGTTTCACCATTTACTCACCTGTAGCTGTAACTGGAATCATTGGTGCATGTTTGTGTAATCTATAATCGCTTATTTTCAAGACGCCGTATTGTGAAGCCTAGTTCCCCTCACCTCGTCTTTGTTGAGTGTTCTCTGGTCAAAGCTGTCACACTGTCAGACAGCTGTAATGTAGACGCCTCTAGTGGTGATATGTGAGAATACAACGGGAGCGGGTCGGCCACTTGAATTACAGATGGTGACTTTAAATAACCAAATATAATTTTACTGTAACTCTGACCTCAGACAGGACCTACCGTATTTTACCGGGCTATTAGTCACTCTGGATTATAAGGCGCACTGTCATTAAATGGTCTATTTTCAAACTTTTTTCACAAATAAACCGCATGGGCCAGTGGTTTTGTTTGTTTGTTCGTTCACGGTGACTCTGGGCTTTGTTCAGTTGTGGCGTGTAGGGAGGGTGTGTCTGGGACCAACGGATTGTCGGCGTGTTCGCAGTGACTCAGTTGTTCAGTCGTGTCTAGAAGCGGCACATTGCGCTCGCGTTTTCGGTTCGTTCCTCCGTTCCGTTCCTCGTCGGCGTGGAGTGATGAGTGTGTCTGTGGGTGTGTTTCGCTGTGCGGTCGCTGTCTGCTCCGTGTGTGTTTGTGTGTTCTGTGGGTGGTGCGGCTTTGTAGTTTACTGAAGTCATGCTGGGACACCCGAGTGGGTTCGTGTATAGGGCGCTCTGGATTGTGTCGTTTTTTGATGGGGTTGGAGGCTTAAGAGCGCGTCTAATAGCCTGGAAAATACGGTAATTGTCACAAACTAAACTCTGTATTTTCATCATAATATTTCTGAAGTTAAGGCAAACAGACCATGAAAAGATGTCGCCCCCCTTAACCTCCTCACCTGTGTCCTGTGTCCTGCAGTCCCTCGCGGCGTCTCCGGGCTCCAGTTTCTGCCTGACGAGTCCATCGTTACTTGGAACCCAGGCTCAGAGGGACCAGACCCGGGCATGTTCTTCATGTTTGAACTGTCCCGGGCCGATGGAGGACAGGTGCTGTGGTCCGGCAGGGCGTGGGAGCCGCACGTGCTCCTGCTCGCTCTGCAGGCGGGGCTCACGTACCGCCTGTCTGTGTGGGAGCACTGTGAGGGTCTGGGCTCCTCTGACAGAACGACTCTGGAGTTTCAACCTGAAATATCCTCAGAGCTGCAGCCCAGGGCACGAGGAGGGAGACCCCACGCCAAGAAACCACAAGGTGAGTCACAAGAGATGGAAAAGTAAAATGTATTTAGTCACAAAATACTGAATTTCTGTATTAAAATCATATCCTGTGATCCAATCAAAGTGCTGAATACTCTGAAAACTTTCCCTGCATCTTAGTTTTAAAAACGTACAATCACATCAGACTCTGTGTCTCCAGATCCTCCTCCTGCAAACAGAGACACATCAGAGTTTGTCTCAGTCTGTTTATGTTCAGGCCTCATGTGAAGCTCCGAACCTCCAGAATTCCCTCCCTGAGCTGCAGAGGCTGCACTAGCACTGACTCAGGATCAGTCCAGGTGCTGGGGTTTTGGTAAAGACTGTTCAGGACCATTTTAGGTTTAAACACACTGAATTTCACCATTTAAAGTGGCAAACCCAATGAGTCGTGTGAGGCTCATTCTGCTTTCTGACTGGAGAATCTTGACATTTACAACAACATGACCATCACGTCCAATATTTTTGTAATTAAGAATAAATCAGCTGTTCTGCCCCAGTGGATAAAAAATATTTCTCTTTTGAATTGATCTGTTTTGTCTATTTTAGCCGCCATATTGTTCTAGACTTTTCAGATGTTCTTGCCAGTGTTTAATTTTTGTAAACTGTCTTTTGGTCCCATTAAAATATCTGTCTGTAAGTATTGTAATGTTCTAACATGTTAACTCACTCTGTGGGGCACTTTAAATTAGTTTTCACAGTTTGAAATTCCAGATAACATATAAGATGCTAATAACGTTAGCATGTCTATGGAAATTTCCATTCATGTTAGCATGATGCTAATCGATTATTGAATAGTAATTTTTATGAAGTTCAGCTTATGTTATTGTTATACATATATTGAATTATTAAGTTGTTCTACATTGTTTTATGTAGCTCTACTTATTCTAGGTCTGTTTAAATGTGAAAACATTATTGTAATATGCATTTATTTTTTGTATGTAACAGTTTTACAATCATCTCTTCAGTAAATGCCCAAAACAGCAAAAAGCTTCATAAGTGTTTACTGGAGAAACTCTTCGCTCTCTGCAAAACTAGTTCCTAAACATTAGTGGAAACAGAATATCAGCAAAGCAATTATCAGTAAAAGCTTATCTCGTATCTGGGGACACAGATGGGCAATGTTTATGAAATTAAAATTAAAATCTTACAGTGTACAAATCCTTTAAGTTGCATTATATTATAGTGTTAAAAAATTGTGTAGTGACATAATTAAAACAGCTTTTTGTTGTGCATTTATTTATCACTGAAAAAAAATCTCACACCTGAACACACCACAAGAGATGTATTTTCTCTTTTTCTCACTATTCCCTACCGTCAAGCACTGCAATTTATTCCTTTCATTTTGGAAACTAAAATTTGTGTTCTTTTTTCCAACAAAATGAAAGTACTGAAATATTTACTTAAATGTGATGAGTCCAGAGGCTCAGATTGGCAGCCGCTCTTCCTAAACCTGCCCCTCTTTGGTTTCTTTTTGTTGTAGAGCCTAAAAACATGGTGAGTCTGGTGGTGCCCTGGACTCTCCCTGAAGATCTGCAGGACGACACCTCAGAATCTTGGACTCAGATGGCCTCAATCCTCCAACACAGGGTGATCAAATACAACAAAATACAAGACAAATACTACCGCTTTAGCTTCTACTACATTCTTAACATTTCGGCTGGGGGTCCCGTCACCTGCTTGTTTCTGTGGAGACGTCATTGCTCTGCTTAGAATGTTCCACAGTGTGACATTAAACAGGTCTACTTTACTTTTACTCAATTACAGGTGGTTTTACAGCTCAAAAATCCCTAGAAAAAGATAAGATAAGATAAGATAATCCTTTATTGTCTCCCATGGGAGAAATTGTCTTGGGACAGGGGTAACATGTTTTATCAAAAACAGGACAACACAACACAAAGCAGCACATAAACAAACACCATAAAACAAAGTAAATATGAGACCAAGTGTGACCACGAGTGATGCACCAACACGACCCTTAAATTATCCTTAACAGGCAAGTCCTGCATTCTTCTGTTCTATTAATGATTGCACATTCCCTAAGCCTATGTGCAGTTTTAGTTATAATTATTGCACATTCCTAAGCCTATGTGCAGTTTTGATTGCACATTCCCCAAGCCTATGTCAGTTTAGTTATAATTATTGCACATTCCCTTAGCCTATGTGCAGATTTAATTATAAAAACAGACATTCTGACTGAGCGGGGTCGCCTCTCCACAGATCTGACCTGTAACTTGGTCTGGTTTGGTCTCCGTGAAGCTAGAAATGATAAAAAATGTTAATGCCATACTGTGAAACATTCCAGATGAAGCAATAACATCTCCATGTAGAAAAACATTTGACAAACTCTCCACCAGAAAAGTTACTCAATGCACATTTAATGAACATGAAATTGCAGTGGGCTCTATTCCCTGATTATTATTATTTTTTTTTTGTAAGTTAATGATCAAAAATACATAATTTATACTTTGACATTGATTATTTAAAAACATGAAAATCAAAATTTCATTGTAAACAGTTTGCAGTGGTCCAAAGTTACTCTTCACTGACCTTCTGCATTCAGAGCTTCCTAATTATTCATAGAGATGAGTTTATAAAAGCTTTTCACAATTTTCAGAGACCAGAGTGGAGATTTGTGACTGCAAAGCCAACAATAAATCGCTTTGGTTAACTGGGTAGGCTTTTATGGTTACAGTTCATCTATTCTGTACCCCGACATGGCGATTTCTAGAGCCCATTTTCACATTTTGCAACTAACGTATTAGATCAGGGGTCACCAAACTTTTTTCTCTGGCACATTTTGGCTCCTGACTATGATGGGGGTCGGGGTCAGGTTGGGGCTGTATAACAGAATTGTTTGACCCTGACAACACAGATTATATTCTTTGAAAAGTGCCACACTTTCTTTACACATCAGATAAACTGCACGGTCCTTACGCTGAACAAAAAAATAATCGTAAACTTCTTAGGTTCTTTTAAAGACAATGCAGTAAAGTGTATTTACCTTGTTACATGTTTCTGCTGCTAGCTGCAAGCCATCTTCAGAACCTAAGAAGTTTAAGTATATAAGAAGACAAAATGAACATCATTGGCTTAAAAAAATAATCGGTCGTCCACTGTTCTTTGAAAACTCTGTGCACTCTGTCAGCTTTTCGTACTAGAGAACTCTGTGCGTGCGTCGACTGTCACTGTTCTATCTCCAGCTTGTCAGGTGATGAAAAATTCAGTGGCAGAAATACATTATATACCGTAATTTTCAGGCTATTAGACGCGCTCTTAAGCCTCTAACCGCATCAAAAAACTAACGTGCGCCCCGTAATCCAGAGCTCCCCATACACGAATCTACTCGGGTGTCCCAGTACGACTTTAGTAAACTACAAAGCCGCACCACCCGCAGAACACGCAAACACACACGGAGCAGACAGCGACCGCACAGCGAAACACACCCACAGACACACTCATCACTCCACGCCGACGAGGAACGGAACGGAGGAACGAACCGAAAAAGCGAGCGCAATGTGCCGCTTCTAGACACGACTGAACAACTGAGTCACTGCGAACACGCCGACAATCCGTTGGTCCCAGACAGCACCCTCCCTACACGCCACAACTGAACAAAGCCCAGAGTCACCGTGAACGAACAAACAAACAAAACCACTCACCCATCACACTGTTGTGTTTCATTTAAAGTCCCACGCAGTTTATTTGTGGAAAAGTTAGAAAATAGACCATTTAATGACAGTGCGTTTTATAATCCAGAGCGACTAATAGCCTGGAAAATACGGTAATAATTTTAAATATAAATACTTTATATACATTTTTAATTGAAAAATAAAATCAACAAAATACAAGATGCAGATGTGTTATTTTTTGCCAAAAAGTAATAAAAAAAAAAAATTCTATGACAACTTTTAAACAAGACCCCGAGGTATTTGAACTCCTCCGCATGAGGCAGGGACTTCTTATTCCAGTCAAGAACCACGACCTCGGACTTGGAAGAGCTGATCCTCATCCCAGCCGCTTCACACTCACCTGGGGGGGGCTGGTCAAAGGGGCGTGGAGGGGGCGGAGTCGGGCCTTAGTTTAATAACCCCTGTATTAAAGGTCCAATATTACGGTTTCTGATTCTAAATTAAAATGCTGTTTAGTCATGAAAACATACTTGGAGTTGTTTTGTTTCATTCACACATGCTTAACAGAAAACACTCTGTCCCACCTTGTGATGTCATATGGTGATACAGGAAGTCTTCCACTGTATTTTCCACACACCTTCACTAGAATCATCTGGAAATTTTCAGCCTCGGAATATCCAGTCTCTATTAAACAAAAGGTAAAAGGAGCCGTTAACTAAACTACTGCTTCATGACAAGGTGGAACATGTAGACAGACTAATAATAAAGAAAACACGACTCCAGGTCTGTTTTTGAGGAGTTAACAACATTATAACATGACTAAAAGCACAAGAGTCAATGTTGCATAATATAGGATCTATAAGGTAGACAAGCCTTCTTCAGTTTGGGGTAATTTTCCAAGCTCCTTCTCAGATAAGCTTCCCTTTTGCCCTTATGCCTGTGTGTCTGTGTGTCTGTGTGTCTGTGTGTCTGTGTGTGTGTGTGTGTGTGTGTGTGTGTGTGTGTGTGTGTGTGTGTGTGTTTGTAGATGGAGGATCTGTTCAGAAGCTTGAATCCTGCCGCTCAGGTGGAGCTGCTCAGCGTTGACCCAGCGAAGGCGCCGGAGAGCACAGAGTTCCTGTTTCTGACCCTGAAGAAGCCCCTCGGAGACAAAGGCCTCCCAGAGCCGCTGTGGCTTCAGGACACTCTGCCCTTCCTCCAGTCGCTCTCATACAACATCAGCGTCCAGGACGGGGCCATACACTGGACAGGTACAGGCGCCATGAGTCAATATAATAACAAATAGAAAAAATATAAATGGTACTAATACATTCTAAATAAGTAGCAAAAACAGCAAGAGACTGGTGTTAAATAAGGCATAATTATATAAATGTATGTGTACAAGTAAAGTTAAATACAGAAAAATTGTAATATACTGTAAATACTAGAGGTGTAATGGTACATGTATTTGTGCTGAACTGTTTCAGTACGGGACGTTTGGTTTGGTGCAGGTCTGTGCACGAGTGAGTTTGCGTAATTTGTGTGTTTACGTTTCACCAGTGGCAGCTCGGCTCTTTAATATTCACAAGGAAACTTGTCCGTGATTGGAGTGGCAGTGTTTCCCGCAGCGCTTTATAGTTAAGGCAGCCGCCTTGTCCCTCCGAACCACGTGAATCCTCGCAAAACTATGCCCATCGCGCCCCTTTCCTCACTTTTGCCTTTTGCCAGCACAGAATCTCCAGAACCTCTGTCCCTAATGAAAGTGTATTTTCACCCACTGGGGACGTTGTAACTGCAGCAGATCTGCACTTACTGCAGACGATGTGGACGAGTTGTTTTTTCTCCCCAAAAATATGAAGGTTGAGTAAAACTTCATGCTGGAATTGTTAGTGCTGTGCTTTTTGAAAAGTTTTATTTACTGTTTACAAGGAATTTATTTTTTATAATATTTCAAACATTTGTTGCTTATTTGAGAATGTTATTTCACTTATTAGTTTTACCAAGCAGCACTTAGCATTTATTTTATTTTCCTGTTTGTATAACGTTAAAACAAATTGTTGGTTTCATAAAGACCCAAATAAACAACAAGCAAATGGTTCTGCATTTTGTTTCCATACTTTTCATACCAAAAATGGACAGAATCGTGACCTCAAAACCGAAGTACTGATCCATGATTTCTGTGTATCATTACACCCCAGATAAATACAGTATATCACAGTTATGTAGAAGATGTCGTGATCATGTTGTGATCATGTGTTGTGTGTGTGTTTTTGTCAGGTGCAGACGAGTGCCTGTACAGCCCCTGTCCCCACAGCTCCATCTGTCTGAACACTCTGGGCTCCTTCAGGTGTCTGTGCACAGACGGACACTACGACGTCAGCACCTTCCTGAGGAGACCTTCCCCCGTCTGCCACGGTACACGGGGTTTATATTCAACATTTTAAACATTTCCATCTGGCATTTATTCACTGCAGGAGTTTCTGTTGCACAAAAATACATGAATTACTTTTCATGAAGAGGGACGACTCACCACAGATCTGACCTGTAATGTGCTTACTACTGTTACTTCTGTCAGTTCTGTTACTACTACTACTACTACTACTACTACTACTACTACTACTACTACTACTACTAACTACTGTTATTACTGTCAGTACTGTTACTACTACTGTTAATACTGTTACTGCTACTACTACTGTTAATACTACTGCTGTTACTACTACTACTACTACTACTGTTACTGCTACTACTACTACTGTTACTACTACTACTACTACTGTTACTACTACTACTACTACTGTTACTACTACTACTACTACTACTGTTACTACTACTACTACTACTGTTAATACTACTACTACTACTACTACTACTGTTAAATACTACTACTACTACTACTACTACTACTGTTAATACTACTACTACTACTACTACTACTACTGTTAATACTACTACTACTACTACTACTACTACTGTTAATACTACTTACTACTACTACTACTACTACTACTGTTAATACTACTACTACTACTACTACTACTGTTAATACTACTGCTACTCCTCCCTCATGAATTTCAATCTGTACTGTGGAACATTCTAGACAAAGCATTTCCATGGAGACAAGCAGGTGTCGGACACTTCACTAGAAATGTTACGCAGTGCACCTTTTAAATAAAGTCTACATTTGGAGAATATACTTTACTCTGAAGCATTTAGTTTTTGATAAAGTCTGGAAATGGTTTATGGGCTTAAAAATTTGATCTGAAATTGAATGTAAAATATGAATACATTTGTTTGGGTTTGTGAGAAATACAGACAAGTTTAAGATTTCAAAAACAATGTCTTCAGTGGTTTTACAGAGTTGTGTTTTTGTTCTGTTGTCAGATAAAGGCATGTTCAGTCGCTGTCTGGACAAACAGCTGATGGGAGGAATCTCCAAGCTGTACCTCCGCTCTCAGCTGCAGGGGGCGCTGCAGGTCTCTCTGAACCAGGGCCAGTGTGAAGTGAACCAGACTCAAGACTTTTATTATTTTAAAACACCGAGAGAACAGAGCCAGTGTGGGACCAGGAGACGGGTCAGTCACTACTACTACTACTACTACTACTACTACTACTACTACTACTACTACTACTACTACTACTACTACTACTACTACTACTACTACTACTGCTACTATTACTACACAAGACTTTGACTACTTTAAAACCCCGAGAGACCAGAGGAAGTGTGAGACCAGGAGACGGGTCAGTCACTGCTGCTGCTGCTACTACTACTACTACTACTGCTGCTAGTACTTTTACTACTGTTAGTGCTGTTACTGCTGCTACTAGTACTACTGCTACTACTATTACCATTACTACTAGTACTACTGCTATTACTACTACTGCTCCTACTGTTATAGCTGCTGCTACTAGTACTACTGTTACTACTGCTACTACTGCTGCTACTACTACTTACTGCTACAACTACTACTACTACTAATACTACTACTACTGCCACTACTATTGCTACTATTACTACTGCTACTGTTACTACTACTTACTGCTACTACCTCTACTGCTGCTACTACTACTACTATTACTGCTGCTACTACTGCTGTTACTGTTACTGCTACTGTTATCACTACTCTTACTACTACTACTACTACTACTCTTACTACTACTACTTTACTTGTACAAATATCCAACATGGACAGTCCTGGACCTGTTTTAGGTCTGGTTTTGTTCAGACTGGGTTAGTTCCCGGGCTTAGACCTGGTTTAGTCCTGAAACAGTTTTGATTTGTTTATAGTTTAATCCTTTCCTTGTGGTGCAGCTAAAAATTATAATTACGGTTCATTGACGTCAGTTGAACATTTAAATGGGAATCGACATCGTTATGTCATTCAAAGCTACAATATTCAACGTAAAACAAATCTGAAAGTTAGAGCAGCTGAAAACAATGAATTAGAATATTTTGTTAGTTTCAGTTTAGTTTGGGTTTGGGTTTCCCCTTCCTTTGCTCCCTGCACTAAGTCAGCCCCCCTTCAGAGCGCTGTCATAACACAAATCAGCATTCATCCTGCTTATGAAACTACTGCACATCGCAGCAGGTTTGTGAAGTTGTAGTGTAGAGTTTTTGTATATTTATGGAGAACTGTGTGTGGGAGCGTGGGTGGTGTAGGCTTGTGTAAGAAGAGTTTGAATAGGGCCCAAGAGAGATCGCTAGATTGCTCAAACATGCACGGATGTCTCTAAAACCACTTCAAATATGGATTTTTTGATGAGGGAACATTGTTATAACATGGAAAGGTTCAACTTTATTCCACTTTATTCTGACTTGTGGAAATATAAATCCCTCCTTGTTTGTGCAGGTGAATGAGACTCACATCGAGCTCCAGAACCTGCTGACGGTGAGCGGAGGAGGGAGAGGGAGAGGAAGAGGAGGAGGAAGAGGAAGAGGAGTAGGAAAAGAAGGAAAAGAGGGAAAAGAGGGAAGAGGAGGAGGAGGAGGAAGGAGGAGGAGAAGGAGGAGGGGCAAAGGTCCGACTGGTGTGGAAGTGTCTGTATCCACGGCATTATCTGCGCACGGCTCAGATCGGAGTGGACCGGGACAGGTGAGGAGCTGAACACATTTCTTACTCACATCACCAACATTCCATGAGAGTGTGACGCTAACCGGAGGCCCTGCTGTGTCTCAAGGTCTGTCGGTCAAGTTAGTCTTTCATCTGAGCTTTGTTTTAACACGATCCGACCAGAAAGAGCTGATTTAGTTGGAACTTCAACAGATGAGCTGATCTTTGCTGTTAAACAGGTCTCTCTCAAATAACGTACAGCAGTTAGACATCAGGACTGTAATGTTAATATTATGGCTCTAGAATAAAAACTGGATAAGCCTCTCCTCCTCTTTCCCGGCTCCAGACAGACTAGTGGCTGCTCCAGGTACTGCAGCTCCTGGGGGCTTGTGGGAAGCACAATGTGTTTTTTGGGAATTCAAACTCATCCAGCTTTCACAAAGGTCAGATTTTGTAGGGATTCTTTTCTATTTTCACAACATGAACTTTTCAAATTCTCAAAGAGCTTAAAAGTGATCTTCGTCAGACTTGGCCTTTTTAGAGACTTCTACATAAATGGCTACAGGAGGAGCTGGAGGCCTGTGGCCATAACAGAGACATTTACAGACAGTGAACAGGCTTTTCAGATTCACAGGAGAGACATTTCAGTTTGTAGCCTTGGTAGTAGAGCTTTAAACAACTTGGAGCCGTGCGTTCTGCAGTTGAAAATCAAACACCTAAACAAGACCATGAATGCTCGTATTTATCGCAGGCTCCTGAAAATGTGCTGTTTAAATCCATTTTGTTTTTTTGTTGAGTGTTCAGACTATGTAAAAACTTGCTACATTAAAAGCCATATCTTTTGTTTTATACCATATTATTTGGTGGTGAAAAGTTTGAGACCCACATTTTAAATATTAATTTAATAACATATTTGTCTCCTCTGTCTCTCCGTAGCCCCTTGTCCTTCCCTGTGGTGGTGTATAACTCCTCTCTGGAGCTGCCTCTCTCCATGAGTCTGTTCAAGGACCAGTCTTTCGTCTCCGTTTACTCTGACGCAGTGACGGTCACTCCAGACGACACTCTGCACTTCCAGGTTTCACTGCAGACTTCAGACCCCATCCTCCGCGATCTGAGAATACAGGTATGACCGTTCACTTACATTTATTTAACGAACAAATATTAGCCGTTATTTGTATTGCAATTGGTCTTTAAATTCAATTCATCTTTATTCTGGAGTCATGGACAAGGACAGTGACAATACAAAACTGTAAACATTTATGGTTGTAAAAGGCAGTGATACCAGTGTTTCCACATATTGGACTGAGTCTCATATTTGTGAGTGACATTATTATTTCATTGTCTGATTTGTTCAGTCTGCAGATAAAACTGTACATTAACATTCTTCGTAGAGCTTGCAGAGTGTTTAAGCAGACCTATTCTGTAAAATCTACTTTTCAGAGCTTGTAAACATGGTACGGTTGTTTCCCCTTATCTTTTACTCTCTCAAAAACATATCCAGAGTTGTTTTGTTTCATTCACACATTCACACATTTTAATAATCCTGTTTTTTTTAGTCTGTCTACAGCTCCAAAGCTCAAAATGCTCTGTTCCACTTTATGATTGATTGAAATGTTAGTTTTCAAGTGAACAAGAGATCTGCAATTCCAGGTCTGAAATGATGGAAATGATTCTAGTGTGGAGGAGTGTGTGTGTGGAGTTTAAAAACACAGTGAAACACTTCCTGTATTACCACGTTACATGCGTTTTCAGTTTGAGAGAAGAAACCAGCCTAAATGTGCCGGGTTTGTGTGTCAAACGTGTGTGAATGAAACAAAACGCAACTCCAGGTCTGTCTGTGATGAGGAAACTTTACACCATGTTCTGATCTAGGTTATAATCTGTGTCCTTTAAAAAATAAATAATAATAATAATAATAATAATAAAAATAATAAAAATAAAAATAATAAAAAATAATAATAATAATAATAATAATAATAATAATAATAATAAAAAAATAATAATAATAATAATAATAATAAAATAAAATAAATAATAATAAAATAATAATAAAATAATAATAATAAAAATAAAAATAATGTGTTTGTGATGTTTGCTCGTTCAGGTGGACTCATGTTGGGCCACAGAAAGTCCAGACCCTGAGGACCAGGTGCAGGGCGTGTTTCTACAGGACGGGTCAGTTTCTATAGCAACAAAATTATCTGCTGAGTTTTTTTTTTTTTTTTTCAACATCTTCATAGATAAAAGCATTTGACGGTCTTTTCCTTCAAACTCTCCCTCTCTTTTCCTCAGTTGTCCGATGGATGAAACGTTCTCCTGGCTCTCTAAGAACGGAGCGGACTGGCGCTCTAGATTCTCCATCCAGATGTTCCAGCTGCCTCTAGGGCGCCCCCTGTACTTCCACTGCAGAGCTGCCGTCTGTGCACCTCAGGAAAACTGCTACAAGGTAAAAACAGCTCAAGTTGACGTTCTCAACCCGGGCCCACCGCACCTTCGACTGTGGTGTTGCCAGGGATCGAGCAGTTTGTGAGGAAAAGTTTAAAAACATGTTGAACAGGAATTACAGGAGAATTTGCTTGATTTTGGATGTGATTTCTTCTCCGAGATCGAGGAGGCGTGACCCGACTTTGTGTCTTTGCGGGCGATTTTGAAGCCGCTGCTCCTCGTGTGTGTGTGTGTGTGTGGTGGTGTCAGTGTCACTCTGAGCTGCTCTGTCAAATCAGAACCACCAAACCTCGGCAACGATCCGATAACAGACGATAAAACAGAGCGTCAGGGGCAGAGGAGCGACTGACACAGAGACACACAAGATACAAACTCAGGAAATAGCGATAATAATGAGAAGACTTTATTCCTCGCCTCTCGTGAAGTTTTAAATTTAAACTGCAGCATTTATCCGCATTATTTATAGAATTCGTCCTCTGCAAATAATGACACCCAGTCCACAAAACTACAATATGAATCCAGTTTGAAGCGTTCTTATCTGAAGGTTGGCAGCTGTCATTGTGTCATTGGGCAAGACACTTAACCCCCCTCACCTGTTTGCGTACACTGGTGTATGAATGTGTGTGTGACTGGGTGAGTAGGTCCTTGATGTAAAGCACTTTGAGCCTTAGGCTGTGTTCAGACTGCAGCCTGAAGTGACCCAAATCTGATTTTTTTTTTTTCTCTATGTTCCTGTATCTGATCTTTTAATGAGTCTGAACGACACAGATTCGATTTTTTTCAAATGTGACCCAGGACACTTGGATATGTGCTCCTGAAACTGATACATATCTGATCTTTTGACATGTGACTTCAGTCTGAACGGCCAAAGTGCATTCATCCACCTACACGTTATCAACAAGACACAAACGTCACTATTCTGCGCTGAAGTAGAGAAAATTGTTAATGAACTCCGTGTGACTGAAGTGAAGCACATCACCACTCACCACTCTTGGCTCCGTCTCCACATCCACACGTTCCTTTCAACGGACGTCGCTGCCGCTGTCCCACAAAACACCACGACCAAAAACCTCGTCCTTCTCCTTCTCAATCTCCTCCTTAAAACAAGTAAGTTGTTCATGTTCTGGCTCCGGTACGAGAGGAACTTTAAAATCTCCAGGTGCTCGATGCTGCGTCCATGTTTGGACAACTTCTGTAAACACAGAGACGCTCGCTGCGGTTGACGTCGTCGTGTCTCCAGTGTCACATGCGGGACACTTTCAGGCCTTTTACCGTTCATACTGGAGTCACATACAAGACACATTTAATTGTAAATGTGAACGACCTCGCAAAAACATTGGATTTCACAAAAAAATCGAAATTGAGCGTTAAACCCTGCAGTCTGAACGTAGACTAAGAGTCTCAAGGTGAGTGGTTTTACTGTAGACAGGAAACAGTTGACACAATCACACTCAGTTTTATATCCTGTGGTCCGTAAGCAGATCCCGCTGTAGTCTTTCAGATCGGAGAGTTAAAATCTCATAAGATTCTTCTCGTGTCCGTGGTGTGAGCTTAAAAATCGTTTGACCTTAAAATCCTGTAGTGTGTGGCGGCCTTAAGTTTGTCCTTTCCTTTCCTGCTCACAAATGCACAAATTGGTGACAGTAGCTCAGTTGGTAGATAATGTGTCCACCGATCTGAAGGTCGGTGGCTGTTGTTGTGTCCTCCGGCAAGACACTTAAACCCCCTCCCCCCTGTCTGCGTACACTGGTGCATGAATGTGTGTGTGACTGGGTGAGTAGGATCTTGACGTAAAGCTGTTAGTTCTGCTTTAGTCCTGGTTTAGACCTAGTTTAGACCTGGTTTTAGACCTGGTTTAGTTTCTGGCAATGAGTGGAATTACCAAAAAAAAAGGAATAGCCCAAAATGTGAAAACATGAAAATACCTCTGTGTAATTCATGTATTTCAACCAAGTAACTGTAATCCCAATACCACTCACTGAAACAGTAACTGTAACTGAATACAGTTACTCATAATTTGTACTCTGATTATGTAACTCTGGTACATGTAATCTGTTACTCCCAACACTGGTAACAGCTTTACAGTGGCAAAACAACATCACTTTTTCGTGTGGTTCTCCAAGAAACAATTTTTATCCTTTGTAAACAACAAAAGTACTTTGCACTTCTGGTCGTTTGTGTGGAGTCGTTCTTGGACAGTCTGCATCGTCCACGTTTATCAGCATGGATGGGAAAAAAGGCTCCTGAGTAAAAAAAAAAAAAAAGGATTTGGAGTAAGTAGGTAATTGACATTTAGCTGTTGTAAATCTGCAACTCCTGCCTGGAGAGGGTTAAAATCCTGTAGTGTGTTACAGCCTTAAATTTGTCACGATTTACTTTCCCGGTTCCTTCCCTGTTCAGAAACGCACAAATGGGCGACAGTAGCTCAGTTGGTAGATCGTGTGTCCACCGATCTGAAGGTCGGTGGCTGTTGTTGTGTCCTCCGGCAAGACACTTAAACCCCCTCCCCCCTGTCTGCGTACACTGGTGCATGAATGTGTGTGTGACTGGGTGAGTAGGATCTTGACGTAAAGCGCTTTGAGCCTTAAACTTGGAAAAGCGATAAGGATATTTGATAATTAAGTCGTAAAGCAACAAAACCAGAATCGAATCAAATAAAAGCAAAACCATAAAATCTTAAAATGTCAATAAAAAAACTGTATAAATAAAATAGGACCACAAAACTCACTCAGTAATAATCGGTAGTCAGAATGAATGTGTAACTCTTTTTTTCAGACCTGCCCAGACCAGAGGAGGAGGAGATCTGTGTCTCCTTCACAAACTCAAGACTCTGGAGCTGCTGTGGTGTCAGTGGGACCTCTAGTGGTGAGCAAGAGAAGAGCGTCCCGGGGACAAAACATCTGACTGTGAGTTTCATGTGTTTTTATTTCCTGTATATGTGGGTTTCAGCTTCCTGTGTTACATGCAACATTTTCAGTATTGATATTTAAATGTGCTCTTTGTCAGTTTTTTTCTGATCGGGGCTCTGGCTGTTTTTGCTCTCCCTGGAATATTTCACAGTAGGGCTTTAAATTTAACCCTTTGTGTGTGTTTGCAGGGTCAGAGCACATGACTGTGATCTACATCGTGGCTGGATCCACTGGACTTTTGGCTGTAATTCTTCTTTTTGTTTCTGCGGTTAAAGCTGTTATGAATTATTATGAAAAACTTAGACTCAAATAAAGCGTCAATCACACTGATCTGTGACTGGATTTTTTTCGTGAACCAAAAAAAAAAAAAAAAAATGCTTTTCAATATCTGATCTCATCTGATCTCTGAAGTTAAGCAGAGCTGTGCCTGGTTAGGACTTAGATGGAGACCACAGGGAAACTGTCCTTAAGCAAGACACTTCAGCCACATTGTCTAGTATGAATGTTGGCATAAGTACGCAAAGGGTATATTTATATGAATGACCAATATTATTAAGAAAATACTTTTCTTCCTGCCATCCTGCTCAAAGTTTGTAACATTGTGGGCAGCCGACCTCAAATCCAGAAGCGTTTGATGGTCATACACCAACACAGAATAAACACATCTGGTGACACTGGACAAGAACAACAAATACAAAATGCTCGACTGTATATCTGACTTTAAGGCTTCGTTGGCCCAAAATTTTTTAATAAACTGAATGAAGATAAGACTGAGGTGATGCTGTTTGGGGCCAGCAGTTCCCTCACTGATGTGGGACACCTCAAAAATTATGTTCGTCCCACAGTCACCAACCTCAGCGTCGCCTTAGACACTGATTTTAAATTTGACAAACCGATCAACAATGTTTTAAAATGAAGTTTTTACCATTTGCGGCTTTTATCTAAAGTTAAAACCTTTTTTTTTTATCTTTTAAACTTTTTGAACAAGTCATGCACGCTTTTATTTCATCACGCCTGGACCACTGTGACTCACTTTATTCCGGCATTTCGCAAAACGCCCTTTACCGACGACGAAAGGAGACAGCACATCACCCCAAATCCTTCAGTCTTTACACTGGCTTCCTGTTAATTTTAGAATTGATTTTAAGATTTTATTGTTTGTTTTTAAAGCTTTGAATGGACTGGTCCCACAGTACGACTCGGACCACTTTTATTCTCTGGCTTTTAACACCGCATGAGTTGTGTGCTCTTCGGTTTTTTTATTTATTTTTATGTGTTTTTATTGGTTTTATTGATTTATTTATTGGTTTATTTCTATTTTATGATTTTTATTTTACTGGTTTTATTGTATTTGTTTTATTATTTTAAGACTAGTATTATTTTAGTAGTTTATTTTATCATCTTATTGTTGTTGTTATTATGTATTCATGCAGCACTTTGGAAACTATTTCTATAGCACATTTCACAAACAAAGAAAGTGGATTGGATTGGATTGGAAAATAATGCTGGTAGAGACAGACAGCAGGCCAAACACACTGGCGCCACCTGGTTTATCTTCCACGTTTTTCTTATCTTAAAGATAAACTTTTAAACATGACTAGAACCAGCTGCAAAAAACGATAAATGCTTCTCTTATCTCATTTTTCTTGACTCTCTTCCAACAAATGCGATCTAAAACCTGCCACGAGCACTTCCAGGTTTGTTTATTTCATCTGTTTTGGTCAAATTCTCAAACTGACTTTTAGTGTCCTATGGTGGTTAATGAACAGAACACAGAAGTTTGGAAGTGTACTGTAAATTAACGGAGGCACTCGTCTCTCTTGTGTGGATCTGTTCATGTCCAAGAGCCGTTCATAAGACACTTTCTCTTTTTATTGACATGACAGAAGCCAATGTGAGGACTCTTGTGAGCTTTAAGACATGTCCTAATGTTGTTCCCTCCTCAAAAACAGACCTGGAGTTGTGTTTGAGTTGAGTAACTCTTTATTATTAGTCTGTTACATCTCCAGAGCTGAAAATGCTCCATCAGAAGTCATGTTTCACTTTTCCATAGATGTAGATTTTGTATCTTTTATTCAATAAAGTTGGTTTGGATTTTTATGTTAAGAAATAATACAGAACTTTTATAGCAGGGTCTGGTCAAGTGGTAATGGAGGGAAACAGGGACAGATTTTTGACATTCAAATGTCTCTTATTCAGAAACTAGAGGAACTATTGAAATAAGTAAAGTATCAGAATGTAGGAAAGAGTTACACTCCAACAGGGTCAAGTTAAACCTGTGATATTCTTTCAAGTTGTTGACAAAAAATTTAAAAACTCATGTCGGTAACGGAGGGAATGAAATATGCAGCACTTTTTGGCAATAAATCCAAACAGTGAAAACTCTTGGTTCTCACTTACATATCCTTAACAAACTGGTTTGAATATTTGCTTCATATAGTTTTCTACCATATGGTACAAGATTAGGTTGAAAAACCTCTTACTTTTTGACTCATGAGATTTTTTATTAAGAAAGGTTCATGGTAACGGAGGGAAAAGTAACGGAGGGAAAATTGTGCAAACAAGTAGAAGGTGTGCTCAGTTTTTTTCTTCTGAATACTTTAATATTACTTCAAAATGAAAGGAAACTATTTCTATAAAATATGTCAGTCCTTCCAAGCAAATTTTTATCATTTTAAATACATAAAAAAAAAAAAAAAAAAAAAAAATCCTGTACCTTCATCAACAGTTCAAAGATGGAATAACACAAGATATGATGAAATACATCCATTTATTTACATGATTTTTGGGTCTTTGGAATTTGGGAAATAATTTTTGTTCCATGTTTCATACATGGTCTGTTTAAAACATATGGAACTTTAGAACCAAAAATGGTACAGAAAAAAGGTCAACAGTTTCATAAACTAGAGTACATATGTATCTGTTCAATACATTTTTATATCAGATGCATTAACTTGAATTTTTGGCCTTGATGTTTACTTCTACTTGACCGGGCCCAGCAACAAGTTTCACCATAGTAAATACACTGTAGTGCGCCCTCAAGTGACCACTAATGTTTACTACACTTAACAGTTCACTCATAAAAATGTATTTTACCAAATTATTTATGAATGATGAGGACAGAAATCAATGGTAACAATAGTTTTCTGTCACTTATGTTGTGTTTTGTTAGTTTAAATATCCAATTATTACCAATATAAACATTTATTTATGCATTTTTACACCATATGTGGCAGCAAGAGAGGCAGAAGACCTTCCAGAGAAACACTTTGAGGGAAAGAACAAGGGGCTGTTGGATTGTATGAAATGAACAGTTTGTTTTTCTCGTATCCATGGAGATTGTGCAAGAGGCTAGTTAAGGCGCTAACTACGGACATTGAGATGCTACAGGCTTTTTACACCATATGTGGCAGATCTTCCAGAAGAAACACTTAGGTTGGTGAAATGGTTTATTTCCTCAGTGTTCCAGAAGAAATACAGAGGGAATAAACCATTTCACCAACCTTAACACCAGAGTGAAGTGAGAACGAGGCCTTTCTTGTTCCCCTGGTGCCCCCTGGAGGCTGCTGTGATGCTGCAGGACACAGAAGGGACACTTGGCTCTTCCTTGGGATCTGCTGACCCTCCCTGACCAGTCCTCCTGTTGAACTGCACTGAGACCTTTGACTGAGACACGCAGTGGAAATGTTACAGCAACACCAACTGCAATAATTTGCTGCAGCAAAACTTGAATTTCTCTTGGGATCAATAAAGTATCTCTCTACTTTGGTTCTTAACTGGGCTGTAACTGTTACATTTATTAGCTGCTAACCTCACATTTGGAGCAGTAAATTAGTGTAACTTAACTTTACTTGTGAGAGGATCCTTGTTTATAGAATTAAAATGACCAAATAAAGAAAGTTTGCTTTGCGTCTGTCAGTTGCTCATGTCTCATGTGACCAGCCTTTATGCTGCTTCTATGCTTTCTATGGGCTCTTGTTTACATTACGGTTGCTAGGTAACAGAGGTAATGTACTTATGTACCCTATGTATGTCATATACCCTAACCCTAACCCTGCCCCCATCCAATCAGGAAGTCAAATAATAAACTTCACAAAAATGTAAAAACTAAAAAGAACTAGGCAACAGTTAGTAAAAATGTTAAATACATTTTCATATGCACTTTAAGAACACAATAAAACAAAAGAGCTGGTAAGTCACAATTCAAATGAATTAATTGTAGTTTCCTTAAAATATTTGCAATGTGTCTAACGCCAGGCAAGGAAAGAGAAGGAACTGTTTCAACAGAGGAAAAAGACAAAAAAGAGAGAGTACTGTGTGAAAAAATAGAATTTTATTAGTTAAATAAATATATTATTGTGCAATACTAAAATGCCCTAGTAGCTTAGAAGAATGTATTTAATGTTTTAGCATATTTATCACCATTGTTGCAGTTTATCTAATAGGATACAAACCAAACATAAACACACATACATCCATTTTAGCACAAATACTTTAAGATATGAGATCTTGGTCACAAGCTCAAAAACGGCTTTACTTAAAGGTCCTATATTACACAAAACTGACTCTTGTGAGTTTTAAGCCATGTTACAAAACATGGTTGTGTTTTCTTTCATTCACGGACGTTCAGTGTTGTGAAGGTGACTTTTAAAATGTAATCCCCTACAGATTACAGATTACATACACCAAAATGTAGTTTGTAACGTAATCCATTAAATTATTTGAGGTGAGTAATGTAATCTGAATACTTTGGATTACTTGATTTGCTGTAGAGAAACAAAGACGAGGAAATCTTCACATAAGATGTTTTGTCTGATAAAAGAAATAAAAAAGCTCAGACTTTATTGAACCAAATTAAAAATATTATTGATAGAAGACGAGGAGACACAGTCCTATTAAATCCTGTTTTAGACCTGGTTTAGTCCTGGTTTAGTCCTGGTTTGGATCTGATTTAGACCTGGTTTAGACCTAGTTTAGACCTATTATAGACCTGGTTTTAGACCTGCTTTAGACCTGGTTTAGACCTGGTTTAGACCTATTTAGACCTGGTTTAGACCTAGTTTAGACCTATTATAGACCTGGTTTTAGACCTGCTTTAGACCTGGTTTAGACCTGGTTTGGACCTGATTTAGACCTGGTTTTAGTCCTGCTTTAGTCCTGGTTTAGTCCTGGTTTAGTCCTGGTTTAGTCCTGGTTTAGTCCTGGTTTAGAACTGGTTTGGACCTGGATTTAGACCTGGTTTTAGACCTGGTTTAGACCTGGTTTAGTGTCCGGCAATGAGTGGAATTACCAAACAAAAAACAAAAAAAACAAAAAAAAAGGGATATAGCCCAAAATGTGAAAACAGTAAAATCCCTCTGTGTAATCCATTTATTTCAACAAAGTAACTGTAATCCAATTACCACTCACTGAAACAGTAACTGTAACTGAATACAGTTACTCATAATTTGTACTCTGATTACATAACTCTGGTACATGTAATCTGTTACTCCCCAACACTGCGGACGTTTGAGAAACTCTTTATTATTAGCCTGTTTACATCTCCAAAGCTCAAACTGTTCTGTTCAACCTTGTCGTGGTAACTTTTATTTTAATAGCCTTTTAAACTTTAGACAGAATGTATTGATACACGAGGGAATTACTTGGACACGGCAGCTCACACATCACAATATTTTATAATAACACAGAGTAGAAAAATATAAAAATGGTAATAAACTTTTAAATAAGTAGCACTGAAAAATAGCAAGAGACTGGTATCCACCATTATTTCAGTAGAGATCTGCAACTCCAGAGCTGAAATGATCCAAATGAGTCTAGTGAAGGTATGTGGAGTTTAAAAACACAGTGGAGCACGCCCTGTATTACCACATGACATCACAAGGTGGCACAGAGCATTTTTTTTTTGTTTGAGAGAAGAACTCAGCGTAAATCTGCAGGGTTTGTGTGTTAAACGAGCGTGAATGAAACAAAACACGACTCCAGGTCTGTTTGTGATGAAATAACAGTATAAAATAGATCAAAAAATAGTGTAAAAGGGGCCCATTAAAAGTTGACTGTATCATGTTCTAATTAATGACGTGTTCCCTTCTAAATGAGCCTAATATGAGCCCTGTTTGCAAAATAATAATAATAATAATAATAATAATTGAATTGTAACAGACAGGTGGTGCAGCTTCATGCTTCTTCACTGAGTGCAACGACATCGATCACCTGTAGAGGAAAGAGCAGAGTCAACACGGCTCAAGGCAACAGTGATTGTCTGTGAGTGTGTACACATGCACATCAATAACCCGGTTATGATCGGGTTTTCTGAGTATCCTGGTTTCTTCATGGTGCATGTATACGCAGTAACCCGGTTGCAGTATCCCGGTTATGACAGTATCCTGTTATTAGAAACCGCGATACTGTAGCTGGTTTATTCTGATAGTAACAGGATACTTGTGGCATGTAAACGCAGTATCCTGGTTACTGCAACATAAAGTTGAGTGTGCATGCGTCCAAAAGACACTTTCTAGTCTTTTCACCACAACAGTAGTCACATAAATAAATTGACCAACATAAATAAAGTGACCAACATAAATAAAGTGACCAAACGAGTGAAATGACTGTAAAATAAAGAGCTGCACATGTACAATCTGCACTCGTATGATCACTGAAAAGATAAAACATGAACTATCTCCTGTACAACACACACACAGAACAGACTCACCATCATCAGCACCTCTTCTGTCATAAAAACAACACACATAATCCACAGAGTCGTGTCATTTAGTCCAAAAGAAGCTGAACCACATCAGCGGCACAAGGAGCAGCTGTTTTTATCACCGCTAACAGTTTATGCTAAATAGTGATGTGGTTTTAAGTTTCGTTTCTGTAAAACGTAAACAAATGTGATCAGAGCTGAATGATCTGATCAAACGGGCTGATGTGGCTCTACAGTGGTTCTGGTTTATATGTTGTAAAGTTGAGTTTATTTATGCAGAAGATTTTAATGAAGAATCTGCACAGTGGATTGTGGGAGATCTCGTAGCTCCTTAGCTTCTTATGCTAAAGGAGCTCACGGTTTGTATTTTTCCTGGTTTATGAAATTGATTTAAGTTCATTTTTGCGCCTGCGCATTTGTAAGATTATGTCAAGAAACCGGGATACTCCATTTGATCATGTATACAGGGATATGAGTGTCCCGGTTTCTCAGTGCGCATGTAAACACAGTAACACGAATACTGACAGAACCGGGATATGGCTAATAACCGGGTTATTGATGTGCATGTGAACACACTCTGTGTGTAAACTCAGGGACTGACCTCAAGATCTCCAGGTGAAGTTCTTGCAGCTCCTGAACATCAGCTGCTGTCAGACCATTGTCCTTCAGGTCGAGCCTTTTCAGACGTGAAGAACCAGACCTGAGCGCAGAGGCCAGAGAAGAGCAGGCTGATGCGGACAAACTGCAGCTGTACAAACTAAAATAAAAAAGATACACCAGAGTTACAAGATGGTTAGTAAAGATCTTAAGGATTTAAAGACTTTTGACTTCTGTGGGGTATTAACTATAACACATCACATAGTTAGATCACCATGTTTTCTTTTATTGTTTTAAAAATGCTATATTCACCAAAAACAACATATTAACATATTTTATGAGTTTCACTTTTTTGTCCTTCCCTTTGCTCCCGACACTAACTCACTCCCCCCTTCAGAGCACTATCACAACATAATCAGTATTCTTCCCACTAATGAAACTACTGCACATCACATCAGGTTTGTCAAGTTGCTGTGTACAGTTTTGTATCATGTTTTTGTCTATTTATGGATAATTGTCGTATGGAAGCGTGGGTGACGTAGGCTTGTGGGCGGAGCCTCGTACAGGCTCGTACTGGTAACTGTAAGGAGGGTTTGCCTAGGGCCTGGGAGAGCTCACTAGATTATTCAAATGTGCATGGATGACTCTAAAACCTCTTCAACAGGCCTGTCATAGTGACACATTTATTCCACCTTATTGGACTCCACCCATTTTTGTCTCTAAACGCTCCTGAACCGTGCTTTCTTGTGGTGGCACTTCCGGTTAAACGGGGATCCCATTCATGTCAACTGAGAATCTGGGAAAAGTTTTGCAGCTAAAATATGACATAAAGTCAGTTCATTTGTCTAAAATGGTCATGTTACCACTGATTCTGCACTGATTCTCTGGAGACTTTAAAAAGACGTATAGTCCCGATTGAACGGTAGTCAGTAATTAAGTAGTCAGTTTGTGTCCTTAATGAGTCATAGAAGTTCATACAAAATAATACAAACCCAATGATGATGGAGGCGCCCACTGCTGGAATAAGGTGACAATAAACCATACCCAAACCAAACCATAAAGCAGAATTGTCCCCAAAAAACAATTCTGAATGTATAATATTGTTAAAAATATGAGATGCATTAAACCAGAGGTGTCAAACTCATTTTGGTCCAGGGGCCGTATCCAACCTACTTTGATCCCAAAGGGGCCGGATCAAAAACTCATGGCATATAAACCCCAAAAATAACAATAAGTTCAAATATTTGTGCAGAGAAACACAAATCTATTACAGAAATATTTTTTAATTGATGAACTTTCTTTTACAAAATATTATAATATTATAAACAACCTGAAACTTTAAGAAAAATGCAATTTCAACACAATGTTTTAACATGAACTTGCGCAAACAGGAATAAGTCAATTTTTCTTGTAAAATCCTGCACTCACGTCCACGTTTTTTCATTTTGGACATTTTTCTGATGAGGGTGTCACGGTCAACAGTCAAAACGATCGTCCTTTAAGAGCGTTTGGAAAGAGACAAGTCTTCATTTGTGCTGCTCTGGTGGGAGGGGCCACGTACAGAGACACTGGAGACGCTGCTGTGCTAAGTGACGCAGAAAATTACCAACATTTTAATAGAAAATATAATCAAAATATTTCAGTAGAAAATCAGCCGAGGGCCAGATTAAAGGTCTTGGAGGGCCGGATCTGGCCCCCAGGCCGTATGTTTGACACCCCTGCATTAAATAAATAATGCAATGAAGCAATTAAGTAGTCAGTTTTTGTCCTTAACGAGTCATAGAAGTTCATAATTTAACCTTCTTCAGCTCAAATCTCATTGTAGAACAGAAAAACAACAATTACAAAGAAAATGTCCACACTAGGGACGGGCATTCGATGAAATTTTCTTAATCGATCGTCGGAAGAATTAACGATCGATTATCGATTAATCATTAACGTGTTTATATTAAAATGATCATCATTATTATTACTATCTGCACTACTAATCTGCATAAATAAATTCAACTTTACGACATATAAACCGTAACGACTCTAGAGCCACATCAGCCCGTTTGACATTATAATGTGTTTAATTCAGTTTTGTTCAACTCTCACAGAAACAAAACTTAAATCCGCATCACTAATTTGCATAAACTAAGCGAAGATAAAACTACAGCTCTTGTGTCACTGATGTGGTTCAATTTCTGTTCGGATTAAAAGACATGACTCAGGTGAATACAGGTTAGTGTGACCAGATTTGTGTTTGTCAAAACCAGGACAGCGTACGGGGGGAGGGGGCGGGGCCTCGTCATCCACATTGAGCGACTCTCACCTGGTAAAACTTTTTCCCACTGGACACAGAAACATATGTGCTGCTTTATACACTGTGCACATGGACTCACACTTGTCCCGAACGCAACGGAAAGTGTGGAATTTCTTGTACAAATCATTGTTAAATACGCATTTGCGTTGCAGACTGACCGACTGTTTGTGTCTCGCTCCTTCTGAGTGCAAAGAGCTACATGTACAGACCCCTGTCTGGTCACGTTACGCACAGCAACCTACATTCGGTTTGTCGATTAAAATGAACGTAATCGATGAAATTCTTAATGATCAATTATCGATTAATCGATTAATCATGCCCATCCCTAGTCCACACAATGAATATTGGTGGTTTTCAGCTTCTATAATGTGATGATGTCATACCCCCAGACGAGGACGAGGAGGAGGAGCAGGAGTCAATTCTCCCTTTGTGATGAAATCTACAAAGGTGAAATTCACAAATGTTGGACCTGATCATTTCTATCAGCGACTAGACCCAAAAACTCACTGTGTTAAAACTAAAATCTGCATTTGACCAATATTCATCTTATCTGCTCCATCTGTGTTTAATATTATTGGCTAAGAGAATGTTGTGACGTCTTCTGAAACACATCAATAATCTATGATTATCATTGTAGTTTTTATCTCTTTTGTCACTGCACTGCCTGGAATGTTCCACAGTGTGACATTAAACAGCTCTACTTTACATTTATTAAATTACAGGTGGTTTATAGTTCAAAAATAAGATAGAAAAATAGACATTCTCATTGTGAGCGGAGTCGCCTCCCCACAGGTCCGAGCATTTAAGTATATTTTTTCATATACTGTATTTTCCAGGCTATTAGACGCGCTCTTAAGCCTCTAACCGCATCAAAAAACAACCGCGCACCACAATCCAGAGCGCCCTGTACACGAATCCACTCAGGTGTCCCAGCACGACTTCAGTAAACTACAAAGTTGCAACCACCCGCAGAACACACAAACACACACGGAGCAGACAGCGACCGCACAGCGAAACACACCCACAGACACACTCATCACTCCACGCCGACGAGGAACGGAACGGAGGAACGAACCGAAAAAGCGAGTGCAATGTGCCACTTCTAGACACGACTGAACAAAGCCCAGAGTCACTGTGAACGCCAGAAACAAACAAAACCACTCACCCATCACACTGTTGTGTTTCCTTTAAAGTCCCACGCGGTTTATTTGTGAAAAAAAGTTCGACAGTGCGCCTTATAATCCAGAGCGCCTAATAGCCCGGAAAATATGGTACATACTTTTATTTTCACATGAGTATTTACTTATTTATTTATTTTTTGCACCGGTTTTACTCAAGTCTTGAATACTTCTTCCATCACTGAGCGTAACTGACCTGAGCTTCTCCAGTCCACAGTCTGGACTCAGCAGAAAAGCACACAGACTCTCCACTCCAGAGTCCTTCAGCTTTGGGTTCTCTCCGAGGTCCAGTTCTCTGAGACGAGACGGGTTCCACTGCAGAGCTGCGGCCAGAGAAGCACAGCTGGACTCGGACAGACCACAGCTCCACAGCCTCAAGAAACAAAAACGCATATCAGAAAATAAAACACAAAACAAAGATATGGGAAATGATAGTGATCACATTTTATATAGCGCGTTTCCATTTTCAGGGCCTAAAGCACTTTATATCATTTGAATTTCCATCAGGATGAATGAAGTATCTGTCCATCCATCTATCACCCATTCACACACACATTCATACTCGCCCAAGGATAACAGCATTAATCTGTGGGAGCTGGAATCGCACCGCCAACCTGTGAGTCAGTGGACAAACACCAACTGAGCAACTGTCGCCCATAATGTCTCATTATTACGGTCACTACAGCAAGAACATTTTTTTTTGCTTTTAAACAGGGGGTATTTTACTTCTGCGGGGAATTAACTGTAACACATAATATATTTAGATCACCGTGAGATCTTTTATTGTTTTGAAAATGCTATATTTGCAATAATAAGCTTCACTTTTGTTTTTGATGCCCCTTCACCCAATGTAGATGGCATCTAGTGGTGCTATGTGAAAATACAACAAGTGGATCGGCCAGTCTAAGTACAGATAGTAGCTTTAAATAATATACACTTTAAATGATCTTTTCAAACAAATAAGCAAAAATAAAAGCAATAATAAATAATAACAAAATAACTGACAAATTAAATAACTAAAATGAACAGCGTGCACCGACCTCAGCGCCTCCAGCCCACAGTCTGGACTCCTCAGCAGGACACAGAGGCTCTGCACCCCAGGGTCCCTCAGGTCTCGGTTCTCTCCCAGCTCCAGGACTTTCAGACGGGAGCAGGGGTTTGACTTCAGCGCTGACACCACAGAAGAGCAGCTGAACTGGGTCAAACCACAGTTGTTCAGTCTGTAAAAAAACACAGATGCAGGTTTAGGGAAAAAAAAAAAAAGAACCTCTGCTTTTTCATCAAGGTTCAGCGTAAATGAAGTTACACCCATAGGTAGATTTGTTTAGCAGTGGAATCAGACATGGTATCAATTTTACCGCTTTGTATTTTTCCTCTAAAAATGTTCTGCAAACTACAGAAAATTGTCAAAACAAGATCATTTTATAACTGTTTCAATTAAAGTTGCAGTGCAGTGAATAGTACATAAGCTCCTTCTGGTTAAAATGCTCATTTCTCTTGTGGACTGTGAATAGAAAAGGCTGAAACACAGCACAGATGCTAACACCAGCTTAAACATCTGAAGTCACATTATACTGAGGAGTGATATTTATATTTAACACAGTAGCAATTGGGGGAATTCTCTCTCCATTTTGTGAATGAGATAAAACAGACTAATCCTCACAGTGTTGGGGCTGAACATGAACATGAGGCTGATGTGGGGCAAAGACGTGATCTGCACTTCCACATCTGATGTGACATCAGTGGTTTCAGATCATCAGCTCTGCTCTGTGCTTTTCTCTGTGAAACACATGAAGGTAGACCATCACTCGTCAAACTCTGCTGTGACTGCAGTGAGCAGCCTGTTTTACACTCCCACTGCAAAAACTGGGGAAAATAAAAAAAGTTTTATTCCAAACAAACTGATTTGAACTTAAAATTTGATTAAACGATTAGATTGTTCTTTTTGTTCAGCCCCCACTGGACTTTTAGTCAAAATGTGCAGATTTAAGTCAAAACTTGTGTAACACAAGGACATGTGAGGAGAGAGACTCAATTAAACTGTACATTAAAATCAACATCGACCAATGTTTTGATTGCTGGTGTCTGATCTATTTTAAATAGCTCTGCCTCTGGTCCTGCGGAACACGAGATATAGAGAAAGTAGACAGTGATCTGACCCCAGAATCTCCAGCCGACAGTCTGGACTCTGCAGCAGCGCACACAGATGGGTCACTCCAGAGTCCTGGAGCCCCGGGTTATTTCCCAGCTCCAGATCCACAAGGTGTGAGGGGTTTGACTTCAGCGCAGAGGCCAGAGAAGCACAGCTCAACTCGGACAGACCACAGGCCCACAGTCTGACAAAAGAATACATTATTCTAAACCAATACCATATTTAAAGTGTATATGACATTTTAGACAACTCATTTCATTAAACATAGTTTAAAAAATATAATAACAAGATTTTATTAAAAATGTTATGTAGCTTTTTTTTTCTTCCTTTCTACTTCGTGGTTGGACATGAGCAGCATATATGGCCTGGGTTTCATATCTACTATCAGTTGGTGAAAAAAATCTAATAAACTTACAGGCAGCAGCTTTAAAGAACATAATATTTATATATTATATATATTTATGTGTTTAATTTTGTGTTTGTCTTTTTTATTTTACTTTTGTGTCACCTTTTGGTGAAACGCATGTGGAACAAAGTTCAGCGCACTGACACAGACACGTTTTAAAGATCTCCGGTAAGATCAGCATAAATTAGATAAAAATACGAATAACGATGTTATTCATTTAGTATGTGAAGAAGGAAATCTCAGACCCTAAATAAGTAATTATCCCCCTTGTGGATGTCAGCCCACAAGGCTTGTGTACTTTTATTTTTGTGCAATTTAAGTTTCATGTATTGTAAGGTACAAATTTTATTTTAATGTTTATTTATTGTATTTCTTTTGTTACCAGTTCTCATGGGCTGTGAAGAGCAAAATAAACCCTGTTATAAACCTCGTCCTCATACTAATTCCTTGAGGGTGCTACACATATAATGCATTCTTGTAGCTTTAACTCTTGTTTGAACATACATCTGGTCACTTTAGGATCAGTATTTCACATTTTCTAACTTAAAATGTCTGAATTTGGAAATTATACTTAAAACTACCAATTAGCTCCCTCTGGTGTTAGCACCAGGAATGAACATTTAAAAGATAAACAATTTAAGTCCTTATCCAATTTAAACGCTGTGCTAATAGGGCCACAGTTTGAATGTTATCTTCAACAGCCTCGCTCCAAACTGGCTCCTTGTGATCGCAATTCCAAATATGAAACTTGGCTCCAAATGCACTCTTATCACTCTTACAACTGTTATCACTTCTAACCTCTATGAACTTCATTTACCTTAAGCCGAACGGTATGGGTGACATCACACTCCCGTTCTTTATACAGTCTGTGACCGCAACTAAACTGCCATTATGTAAACAGAGCGTATTTGATCCTCAGAGAAGACTTTGGATTAATGGATTAAGGAAACAAAATACAAATTTAGGTGGTAGTAATTTTGCATAATGTGTTTTTTTAAAGCCACCAGTGAAGAAAATAAAGAAACTCTTTGACCTGATGATCTGGATTCGACAGTCTGGACTCTGCAGAAACGTGCACAGACGCTCTACCCCAGAATCCTTCAGGTCTGGATTATCCCCCAGCTCCAGATCCACGAGGTGTGAGGGGTTGGAGCTCAGAGCAGACGCCAGAGAAGCACAGCTCGACTCGGACAGACCACAGTCATTTAATCTGGAATTAAGTACCAAAAATAGTCAACTTTAAAAGATCCTATATTGCGCTAAATTCACTTTTGTGAGCTTTAAGTCATGTTCTAATGTTGTTCCCTCCTCAAAAACAGACCTGGAGTTGTGTTTTGTTTCATTCACACATGTCTGAGTAACTCTTTATTATTAGTCTGTCTACATCAGGGGTGTCAAACTTGTTTTGGTCCGGGGGCCGTATCCAACCTACTTTAATCCCAAAGGGGCCGGATCAGAAAACTCAAGGCATATAAACCCCAAAAATAACAATAAGTTCAAATATTTGTGCAGAGAAACGCAAATCTATTACAGAAATCTTTTTTTAATTGATGAACTGTTTCTTATTCTAATATTATAATATTATGAACAACCTGAAACTTTAATAAAAATTCAATTTCAACATTTTAAATATTTTAGTAAAAAATCACCCAAGGGCCACATTAAAGGTCTTGGAGGGCCGGATCTGGCCCCCGGGCCTTATGTTTGACACCTGTGGTCTACAACTTCAAAGCTCAAAATGCTCTGTTCCACCTCGTGATGTCCCTTGTGATGTAACGCAGTGGTAGTTTTCAAGATATCTTTTACCTTTAGTTCAGTGGAGATTGGAAATACAGATCTCAAATGAATCACATGGTTCTAGTGAAGGTGTATGGAGTTTGAAAACACAGAAGAGTACGCCCTGTATTACCACATGACATCACAGGTGAAACAAGAGTGTTTTCTGTTTGAAAGAAGAACTTAGCCTAAATGTGCAGGGTTTGTGTGTTAAACATGTGTGAATGAAACAAAAAACAAAACAAAACACAACTCTAGGTCTGTTTGTGATGAGGAAACTTCATTAGAACACAGATCTGTGAATGAAGCTCTGTGGAGTGTGATAAAGAGTGCAGGGTTGTGGAGAGAGGGAGGGGTTAGGGACTGGGGGAGACATTTGGACACAGCCTTAGTTTATGCACACTACAGTATAGGCGAGTTTCAGCTGACGTCATTGTTATTAAAAGCCCGCGTTGCTGCTGGGAAATATTTTGGTCGGAGGCAAGAAACACGGTAGCGTCAAACACAGTGCGTAACCTCGCGTATTTATCCCGATAATGGTAAATTCCTGCTGCATTATCGGATGCACAAATAGAAGCACGGAAGAAGGAAAATGTCTTTTTCGTATTCTGAGTGAAAAGAACCACTAACGGTGAATTAAACGACTTTCAAACATCCGCAGAGCAAACGTAGAAGATCCTAACAAACCGTGGACTCCAACAAGTTCAACAACACATCGAGACTCTTGGAGGTTTTCATCTTTTCTGCTGTGAATGGCCCAGGAGTTTCCACCAAGTCATTGTGGATATCGCCCAAGTGAATATTTGTCCAGGTAGTTGCCGATTCTGACCAGAAGTTTGGTTTGGTTTCACCTTTTGTCGGGGTTGAAAAGGGTGATTTGTCGTCCGTCGATGTTTATGACCAATTTCTGGTCAAATGGTCTTGGGTCCTCTGCCGTTAGAGTGGATAAATAACCGGGATCAATACCCTTTACGTGCTTTCTCGCTCCGTCCGTCATTGAATTAGTGTTTCTTGCCGCCGACCAAAATAATTCCCAGCATGCAACACGCGCTTTTGTCAACAATGAAACTCACCTATTGTTATTCATAAAATGTTAGCTTGATGTTTCATATAAGTGTATAATGTAAGTGTAAGTATAAAATATGAATCTAGCCTAACATGGTACTGAAATGATACTTTGCAGTGAAATCTGAAACCACCAGCCTGTTTTTTACAGGAACGCTACAATGACATGGAGATGAAAGAAAAAAACTGGGAGATTTTCTCATTTTTCCTAGATTTTGTCAGACTTACTCCAGCGAACAAAGCCCGCCGGAAGTTGTTATCGCTTCCTTGTTTGTGAGGTAAGAGCGAATAGAGCCTATAAAACAGGTGATCTGTGGGCTGACCTCAGAGTCTGCAGGCGACAGTGGGAGCTCTGGAGTCCTTCACACAACACCTTCATTTGGGAGTTCACTTCCAAGTTTTCACTCAGGTCCAGGAGCCTCAGGTGAGAAGGGTTGCACCACAGCGCTGATGCCACCACCTCAATGTGGACCTTTGATAGTCCACAACCAACCAGACTGAAAAACAGAGACACATAGATGAGTAGAAGTCGTCTGGGATCCAGAATACACAATTCAATACTTTCTGAAGATGTGAGTCTGGTCTTTTTGTTTTTAAAAAGCTGTGATTGACAGGTGGATTAGACAATCAGAGACAGAAAAAATTAAGGAAAACAAATATCACAGAGGACTGAAGAACATGGAGGTTTTCTGCAGAATCACTGAGTAAAGCACTAAACTCTGTACATTTATTATTACCATTTATATTTTTTTATTCTTTGTTATTCTATTATATTGTGATGTGTGACCTACTGTGTACGAATAATTTCCCTTGTGGATCAATAAAGTTTGTCCAAGTCTATCTGAGGAGAGAGAAATTAATCATTGCATTTATATAGTGCCTTTCAAGATCCCCAAAGCGCTTTACAGTTATTTATTCATTCACTCGACACTCAGTGGTGGTAAACTACTCTTGTAGCCACAGCTGCCATGGGGCAGACTGACGGAAGCGAGGCTGCCAATCTGCGCCATCGGCCCCTCCGACCACCACCATCACTAACGCACACACCACTTCCATACTAGGCAATGTGGGTGAAGTGTCTTGCCTAAGGACACTTGGATTTCCAGGAGCCACAGGAGCTCCTGGAAATCCAAGTGTCTCCATCCAAGTCCTGACCAGGCCCGACCTCTGAGCTTCTGAGATGTGACGGGATCAGGCTTTGACAAACTGGTATGGAAATGTGATTTTGATTGTAAATGATGGTGACCAATGAGCTCCTTCATTTCACATGCATCATTGAAATAAACAAATCTGATTGGACGATCAAATTTGTCCGAGAGAGAGTGGGACCAGCCTGATTTATAAAAAATACAGATATGAGCCTGGATTGGCCAGTTTGGAATTTCATGTTTCTGTGTTGCATTTATTTCATTATGGATGGTTTAATTGCTCAATTGTGAGTGGGGTTGCTACTCCGCAGATCTGACCAGTAACTTGGCCTGATGGCCTCTACTGCTTGACTACATGCTGTTAGTTAGATTTAATGCCATATTGTGGAACATTTTAAATCTCAATGCAGACAAGAAGGTAGCAGATCCTTCACCAGAAAAGTTACATAGTGTGGCTTTAAGAGATCCTTAACTAAGGCCAGTTTCTTCATCTGAGAGTTCACACTTCACTGTGATTTGTTGAATCCACCTGTCACTCACTCAGACAGAGACCTGTCCTTCAGTGTCTCTGGATTAACATGCATTTGACCCGTCCTTCAGTGTCATTGCACGTCATTTTGACATTTTGGCACTGTTTTGATGATTAAAATATTTGTGTTTCATATGAACTTTGCACAAGAAGTGGTTTAACAAAGACTTTTAGTATCACAGCCACGATTTAGCCATTATTTTTTATTGAACTGTATTGAATCAATTTGAAATATATCGTATCAAATCAAAAGCTGACTGTATCGAGATATGTATCGTATCGTAGCCTGTGTATCAAGGTATGTATCGTATCAGCAACCTCTTAATGATACCCAGCCCTAATGTAGATGTTATTAATTTGTCTGGAATGTTTCACAGTACGGCATTAAACCTTTCTATCTTCACAGAGACCAAACCAGACCAAATTACAGGTCAGATCTGTGGAGAGGCGACCCCGCTCACAGTCAGAAGGCCTGTTTTTTGAGCTATAAAACCACCTGTAATTGAATAAACGTAAGGTGGAGCTGTTTAATGTCACACTGTGGAACATTCCAGACAGAGCGCCTTTAAAGCTCACAAGTCACTGAGTCAGTTCTGCGTAATACTCGACCTTTAAACGATCTTCAGGACTTACAGAGCCTTGGTGCAGTTCCTCACAGCTGGGACCAGTCTCAGTCTTCCTGCACGAGATGAGTTGTACCTCCTTAGGTCCAGCTCCTCCAAGACCTCCTCTGACATCTGCAGCATGTGGGCCAGAGCCGAGCACTGGATCTCTGACACCTTTTTTGATTTATCATCCGACTTCAGAAACTCTTGGATCTGCTGACGAACAGAGTGATCGTTGAGCTCCGTTAGACAGTGAAAGATGTTGATGCTTCGGTCTGGGGAGGTTTTAGTTTTCATCTTCTTCAGGTTGTGGACGACTCTTTGTCTCGCCTGTGGGTCGATCGGTGTTGGGCCCAGCAGAGCTCCTAGAAGTCTCCGGTTTGAATCCAGAGTGAGACCATGGAGGAAGCGCACAAATAAATCCAGGTGACCACTGGAACTTACGAGAGATGTTTCTAGAGCTGCTTTGAGAAAAACGTCAATTGATGAGCCAGTTTTGTCCCAGTTTTTCACTATTTGCTTTAGATAATCTTTTTTCTTTCTGAAACAATGGTGCGTGTAAACTGCAGCCAGAAATTCCTGGACGCTCAAATGGACGAAGCAGTAGACTGATTTGTTGAAGATGATACTCTCTTGTTTGAATATCTTGGTGCAAAGTCCAGAAAACACAGAGCCCTCAGCCAAGTCCAGACCCACGTCTTTCAGATCCTCTTCGTAGAACATGAGGTGTCCTTTGTGCAGATGCTCAAAGGCCAGTCTGCCCAGCCTCAGCAGCAGCTCACAGTCGGCCGTGCTCAGCTCTGGACCACTGCTCTTTGCTCCATAGTTTTTCTTCCTCTGGATCTGCACAAATAGGAAGTGAGCGTACATGTCTGTGAGGGTCTGTGGCAGCGGTCCTTTCTCAGCGCGTCTTAACATGTGGTCCAGGACGGTGGTGGTGATCCAACAGAAGATTGGGATCTGACACATGGTGTGGAGGCTGCGGGACGATCGGATGTGGGACAGGACTATGGCACACTGCTCTTCATCTGGGAACCTCTTGCTGAAGTACTCGGCTTTTTTATCTGCCAGAAAACCCCTGACCTCAGTAAACCTGTCTACAAAGCTCACCGCGATCCGACTGGCTGCTACTGGGCGGGAGGTGATCCATATAAGGGCAGATGAAAGCAATGAGCCTTTGATGAGGTTCACCAAAAGGATGCTGACCTCTGACCTCTGTGTGACCTCGGAGATGACTTCACAGTTGAAGTCCAGGGGGACACGGAACTCGTCCAGGCCATCAAAGATGAAGAGAACTTTACTAAGGGCCAGAGTCTGTGCAGAGACAGGGCACAGTAATGGATGAAATATGTGCATGAGCTCGAGCAGACTGTAGCGACCTCGTCTGGTTAGGTTCAGCTCTCTGAATGACAGCGGCAGCACCAGGTCCAGCTCCTGGTTCTCTGATCCCTTGGCCCAGTCCAGACAGAACTTCAGAACAGAGAAGGTCTTCCCCACTCCCGCCACACCACTGCTCAGCACCACTCTCACAGGCCCCTTATCGAGTGGAAGCTGTTTAAAAACGTCTTGGCAGCGAATGGCAGCCTCATGGACGGTGTTTTTGGACAGCGCCTCCAGGTGGCGCTCCTCGTGCTGAGTGCTCACCTCCTCACTAAGGCCTTCTGTGATGTACAGGTCAGTGTAGATACTGATTAGAGGAGTCATACATCCAGTCTCACCTCCCTCACGCACACGCTCACATTTCTCCTGCAGGGAGCGCTTAAAGTCATCTGAAACCAGGAGAATCAAGTGATCAGAGAAAATAGGGAAAACAGAAACTACAGTGGACTTTATTTATCTACAGACAGCAGGATTCTTTTAGAAAATGTCTAATAATTCTAATAATTCTTTTTATAGTTTTAGTCAAACAGAAAATACATTTTTAATTTCAGTTCTGTTAAGTAGTGTGTTTGCCGCTGGATGGGACATGAGCTTATGGTCTGGTTTGAAGTTCTGGGGTTGAAAAATGAAACTTGGGTCTAGGCTCCATTCGTTCCTTTCATTCATTTATGTCACTACTGTGCTCCACAGGGCGCTATGCCATGACAGGGACAAGGCTGCCCATCTGTGGCCACAGGCTCAATGACACTCACCCACCACAGACACACAGACAGGGGTGAAATGTCTTGCCTAATGACACAACAACAGTATGATGTAAAAATCAGTATGTACAGTTCAGCTGACCTACAGTGACTTACTCTGCACGGTTTGGAAGTCTGTCTGTGTGTCTGAGAGAGCCCAGCTCGACGACTCGTTCACGCCACTCAGGGCAGGAGCAGGACTGTCTCTGCAAACGACAAAAGACAAATGATTATTAGAAGTAAAACACAGACTGATAAAACCAGCCCTGGTTTTGCTTATCTGTATGTAGCATATATGCTGATGCTTGCCAAAAGAAATTTAGGTTATTGTAGGCTAGATCAGAAGATGAAGGTAACGGCTCTGGGAGGTGCGTGACAGAATAATATGGAGTCAGGAATTATGGTTTAGTGGCTGGTGCCATGTATTTACAGTGATAATAGTGAATAACAAAAAAACAATATTTACAATTTTGCAGATTCGGGAATCAAGCTTGATACCAGTAATATTGCGGTACAATTACAATTTCTTTAGAATGAATGTGTAACCATATGAAAAGAAAAAGTTTAACCAATACAGTCCAGTGATATTTTCTCCAACACCTTAACTGCAATAGCAGTACACAGAGTCACTATCTCGCCTTCCACGGGGTAGTAATGAATATGTAAAGTCCAGAATTTTTTTTGACCGGGAATGTGAATTGTCCTCAAGCGCAAAACAGTAGGAGTAGCGAGTAGTGAATGGAAACAGGGTGGGGAGCGACTGGCTGTACAGCCTCCTACCAGACCAGCAGAAGGGGATGATGGTAGTGATGGTAACGATGATATGGTTCACGTGGGTTCGTGGGCTGTTCTAGCTCGCCATCGAAGGGGGGGTTTTGCACCCACTGGGGCACACCTGGCCTATCCCACTGTGAATTGATTGCGCGGCTAAAACACGTCCTCTGCGGTGGTAATGAGACCTCTGTGCAGCAGTCCTGCGGCTCCTCTCCCCAACTCCTGAATGAGGGAGAGCAGGCACAGGAGGCTTGTATTGGGCGCTGCGAGCGATTTGATTGGCGGATCGCATGCCGTGTGTACGTAGCGGCACGTGACTATATGCGGTTACGTACAGGTAGAAAATATAAATAAATATATATTTTATTTGAGGCAGTTAGGAATGATTTTAAGACCTGGGTTACATGTAGATTCCACGTGGACTTGGTTTAGTCCCAGTTTAGTTCAGTTTCGATCACTTTCTTTGGGGATTGCTACGTGGGTACAACATAGATGGACATTAAATTCAGTTTCAGGCTGTGTGCTGACAATCTTAAAACATTTTTGTCAGTGTTTGCTAATGTGTGCACTGTGTCTCCATGGTAAATGCTGAGCATTCCACCATAGAGATACATGTAGAACACCCCCAGCAACAAACAGCCTCTGCAATATATACTGTAATAGTCCATTACTGTACATGAAGGGTAACAAGGAAAAAGGTATAACCAGGACTAAAGCAGGACTAAACCAAGACATGATGTTAAAAAAGTTACATATATGGTTCCATTTAAGTGCACTGATGGACAGTTGGTCACTGTTTGTCAGTTTGAATCACATTAGTGACTTACAGCTCACTGGGATGTGGTGCAGGTTCCAGGCTGAACTCTAAAGGCAGAGCTTTGGAGCAGTCACTGAACACTGCTCTCCCCCTCGGACCCTCTGCTCTGAAAACAAAAGACAGTTTTGAGGGTTTTTGTTTGGAAGAATATTGGTGCCTAGTTATGAGATACTAACTACTAAAAACCCTGTCCAGGAGCATTCATATCTGAACTTTAACCTAATTCCACATTTCAGAACATGTTTGTAGAGCTCTAAACTACAAGGTTAGCATCTTTTACACACAAAAATAAAACATGGAGACACAGGGAGAGCATCTGACACAAGGGGAGGGCATCTGACACAAGGGGAGAGCATCTGACACAAGGGGAGAGCATCTGACACAAGGGGAGAGCATCTGACACAAGGGGAGAGCATCTGACACAAGGGGAGAGCATCTGACACAAGGGGAGAGCATCTGACACAAGGGGAGAGCATCTGACACAAGGGGAGAGCATCTGACACAAGGGGAGAGCATCTGACACAAGGGGAGAGCATCTGACACAAGGGGAGAGCATCTGACACAAGGGGAGGGCATCTGACACAAGGGGAGGGCATCTGACACAAGGGGAGAGCATCTGACACAAGGGGAGGAGCATCTGACACTATGGATGCAACGATATGGTTTTCCCACAATTCGATACATATCTCGATACACAGGTCATGATATGGATTTGATTTCAATACATTTTAAGATGAAAAAAAAAAATCTATTGAGTATAATATAGTAACATGATGTTAATGAAACATTATATACATTACACACAATACATCACAGTAGAACCACTGTACAGCTGTAGTTTATATGTGAAGTGTTTTAGTTCATTTGGTACAATTATTCACAGCTCAGAATTTTTATTCAGTGAAAACAAGAACAGAGATTTCTCAGGCTATATATGTTATAATATAGTCTACTTTTAATATAGAGTGGTATCACACTTTTCCTTCTTTGATGACGATTTGATGGTTTATTTTCCTCCTGAGTCTCACTGGGTTCACACGCCTGAGTCGGTGCTGCTCTGCCTCGTCTCCAGCAGACACAGTACGTAGCTCCTCCCACACTGCCCCCTACAGTCTGTGCTCTTACAGACACACTGTGCTCTCTCCTGTGCTCTTTGTGGACACTAATACCATGTTACATTTTTTCGCGTACCCCTCTGAATGAAGACTGACACTTGAACTGGCGAATTTTAGATTTAATGGCAATAAATCCACCAATCTGCCATAAGAGCTTTGTGCCTCTTCAGAAGGGAAGCTTAACAAAGACATAGAAAATATCTAAAAATATATATGTATACATTTGCTCCGTATAACGTTTTTCCATTCTCATTGTCAAGGTAATTAAATGAAAATAAACCCTTCAAAATAAAAGCGCTAAACATAAACGCGAAAGTTAATGGTTAGTGCAATATAAAATAATAATTAAAAATGTCATAAGAGATTTTAGCCAAGACAAATGATACTATAGGTTATTTACATATTACAAAGAAATGTCTCAACAGACAGTTTTCCGAGTCAGAGAAAAAAATGTTTATCAGAGTCACGTTGTTGGTGCGTATACGAGCGCATTTGATTAAAGCCGATGCAAAGGAAAGGGCCATTGTAAATTATTTAAAGGTCATATCTTTGTCATTATTGGGTCTATCAATGTAAAATAAAAAGTGAGTGAAAGATAAAACCCTCCTCTGTTTACATATGTCAGCTGTAAGTCTCTATCTATGAAGCTGTTTTCTGCTGCATCTGAGGCGGATGTTGTGAGAACTGTTTTCCTTTTAAACCAAAACACGTGTATCGAATCATGACACCAGTATTGAACGATTCGATCTGGAGGATATCTGATTCAGGAGTTGTTACTCACTTTGTTGGTGTGCACTGGGAGCAGACAGGAGGTGCCTTCAGGAGCTCTGTCAGAAGAATGAGAATCATGACAGTTTGACCGTGTAACGTTCACATTTCAGTCTGGATTTGATTGTATTTAAAGGTGCATTGTGTAACTTTTCTTGTGGAGGGTCCATAAACCATATATATGAGTGGACATAACTAACACACTAGCTGCTGTGCGCCAAATAGGAAGTTCTCCAGGAGGCTCTTCAGGCTCCTTCTGACTCTGGCTCCAATAGACTTACATTAGGATCTTGTGGCTCCTCTCTCTGTAACTGCTGCTGTGAACCTTATCATTTTGTTCTTAAAATGTTCGTATTCCTGATTTTTTTTTCACTGTTTTGTCTGTCAATAAAATCCTTTTCATATCATAGAGCCTGACTTCAGATTTGCTCCTGTAACCGTGAACATCGCGAGCCTCATTTGAGCGGCGCTGAACGCTGTGGGTGACGTCGCTCTCGCCTAGTCCACTTCTTTGAGACAGTGTATGGGGAGGGTCCGTCAAATGCTTTACTCAGATGTCATTGCTCTGCCTGGAATGTTCCACAGTATGACATTAAACAGCTCTCAATCACAGGTGGTTTTATAGCTCAAAAATACCTAGTAAAACAGCCTCTCCACTGATCTGACCTTTAACTTGGTCTAGTTTGGTCTCCATGAAGATGAAAAGGTTTAAATGCCATACTGTGTACGTATTTGACGGATCCTCCACCAGAAAAGTTACACAAGATACCTGTGCAGAGGGAGGGCATCTGACACACAGAACACTGAACACACATGTGTATTCAGAGCCTCCAACAGTCACAGTCTGATACAGTCCTTATTCAGCAGAACCCTTATGTGTTCTTTAAAGGTCTGGTACCTGATTTTGTCCTATTTACTCAAAAAGCATCTTGTCCCAGTGCAGATATATGGCTTAAGCGGCTCTTGAGGTCAAAATGAGTCCTGTGTGTACTGTCTGCATCTAATTACGAAGAGTTTTACTGTCAGAGAATCATGAAGTGCAAGTGTTGCTGGTTTTACCGAGAAAACTCCAAAAGGGTCTGGCTGCAGTACGGATGAGTCGAGCTCCACTTCCACTTCCAATTTTTTATTTTTTTTTTAAGTGGAGCTCCACTCTAGAATGAAAAAGGCCGTGTGTAATGTAGTTTATAAAATATTTTCACGTTCTGAAATTTGTTGACCCTTCTGGTTTTGATATCCCCACCTCTCCTAAATTATTTTAATATCTGGTGCGACATGGACCTCAGTGTGATTAATGCAAAGCCACTGATATCGCTTAAAAGCTTATAAAATATCCGTTTTTTCGGCAAATCACATCCTGTAGCCTGTAGATTAGGCCGTGGGTGATGAATAATTAGTTTGAGAATAATTCACTTTCTGGTCAGATTAACTTTTTTTTTTTTCATGTTTATTCTCCTCATGATTAACTGAATTCTACATGTGAAAAGTCCCACTGAGATGAATAAATCTCCTTTTTACGAGTGGGATCCATGGATGGTCTAACATTGTTTTGTTTTTATTATTATTATTATTATTATTACTGCAGATTTTCAGAAACAAACAAAAAACAGCACCTTAACAGTTCAGATGAAAATAAAAATAAATGCATTAAAACATAACAGTGAATAAAAACATATTCACATATAAAAAAGGCCAATTTCAAATCTTCAAAAAGAACAAGGGAAAAAAACAGCCTCTTTTCTCTCAGTTAGGCCCAATGAGCTGGCAAAAAGTTTCAGGATCCTTCTTCAAGTGTCTTATGTTTGGTTTAATTAAAATGAGGAAGTTCAAGAACAAGTTTTTCCTTCTTTTTTTTTAAGAAAGTAAAAGGAATAAATCAGGGACAGCACCAGCAAGAGTCTAGATTTTTAGATCGGCGGTGTCCTAATCGCTTAATATCAAACACACAAAACTCACAAGTCAAAACAAAATGCCATTACTTAAAGGTACATTGTGGAACTTTTCCGGTGGAGGATCCATCAAACACTTTTCTTCATGGAGATGTTTTTCTACGTATTTTTGATATAAAACCACTTGTAATTGAACAAGCTGTTAAAATCGAATAAAAATAGAGCTGTTTAATGTCACACTGTCGAACATTCCAGGTAGAGCAGCGACATCTCCATAGAAACAAACAGAAGACGGACCCCCAAAAAGTTACACAGTGCAGCTTTAAGAAGTTTTTTTTTTTTTTTAAAGTGAACGCACCTCTGTTTCTGTCCCAGCTCCTGACCTGCGCCTCCTCTTCCTCCACACGGCTGCTCTTCATGTTGTGTCTCAAACAGCTGCTGCAAAAAATAAGAATAGTCCTTTACTGTGCATGAAGTGAAACAAGTACTGAACAAGGACTAAACCAGGACTAAACCAGGGCTAAACCAGGTCTAAACCAGGACTAAACCAGGACTAAAACAGGACTAAACCAGGACTAAACCAGGACTAAACCAGGACTAAACCAGGACTAAACCAGGACTAAACCAGGACTAAAACCAGGACTAAACCAGGAATAAAACCAGGACTAAACCAGGACTAAACCAGGACTAAACAGGACTAAACCAGGACTAAACCAGGACTAAACCAGGTCTAAACCAGGACTAAACCAGGACTAAACCAGGACTAAACCAGGACTAAACCAGGACTAAACCAGGACTAAACCAGGACTAAACCAGGACTAAACCAGGATTAAACCAGGACTAAAACCAGGACTAAACCAGGACTAAACCAGGACTAAACCAGGACTAAACCAGGACTAAACCAGGATAAACCAGGACTAAACCAGGACTAAACCAGGACTGAACCAGGACTAAACCAGGACTAAACCAGGACTAAACCAGGACTAAACCAGGACTAAACCAGGACTAAAACCAGGACTAAACAGGACTAAACCAGGACTAAACCAGGACTAAACCAGGACTAAACCAGGACTAAACCAGGACTAAACCAGGACTAAAACCAGGACTAAACCAGGACTAAACCAGGACTAAACCAGGACTAAACCAGGACTAAACCAGGACTACTAAACCAGGACTAAACCAGGACTAAACCAGGACTAAACCAGGACTAAACCAGGACTTAAAACCAGGACTAAAACAGGACTAAACCAGGACTAAACCAGGACTAAACCAGGACTAAACCAGGACTAAAACCAGGACTAAACCAGGACTAAACCAGGACTAAACCAGGACTAAACCAGGACTAAACCAGGACTAAACCAGGACTAAACCAGGACTAAACCAGGACTAAACCAGGACTAAACCAGGACTAAACCAGGACTAAACCAGGACTAAACCAGGGACTAAACCAGGACTAACCAGGACTAAACCAGGACTAAACCAGGACTAAACCAGGACTAAACCAGGACTAAACCAGGACTAACCAGGACTAACCAGGACTAAACCAGGACTAAACCAGGACTAAACCAAACCAGGACTAAACCAGGACTAAACCAGGACTAAACCAGGACTAAACCAGGACTAAACCAGGACTAAAAACAGGACTAAACCAGGACTAAACCAGGACTAAACCAGGACTAAAACAGGACTAAACCAGGACTAACCAGGACTAAACCAGGACTAAACCAGGACTAAACCAGGACTAAACCAGGACTAAACCAGGACTAAACCAGGACTAAACCAGGACTAAACCAGGACTAAACCAGGACTAAACCAGGACTAAACCAGGACTAAACCAGGACTAAACCAGGACTAAACCAGGACTAAACCAGGGACTAAACCAGGACTAAACCAGGACTAAACCAGGACTAAACCAGGACTAAACCAGGACTAAACCAGGACTGAACCAGGACTAAACCAGGACTAAACCAGGACTAAACCAGGGGAATCAGTGTTTCAGTTTTATGCAGCTAAAATCTGGACTGGTCTTCCTGAAGATGTGAGACAGGCCTCTGCTCTGATCATGTTTAACAACCATAACTGCAAACTCTATAGCGCCTTGTCATGTCATGTGGTCATACAGGAAGTGCTCCACTGTGTTTTTAAACTCCACACACCTTCACTAGAATCATTTAGATAATTTCAGACGTGGAATTGTCTGTCTCTACTGAACTAAAGGTAAAAGGAGCTGTTCACTACCATTTTATGACATCATTTAATGGAACACTGTACACCAATAGTAACAATCCCATCAAGTTGTCAGGTGGCACAGCCCCGAGATTTAACCTGTTAACTGCCCTGCCTCTGTTTATCTCTTCTTAATTGTGGCACAACTTTTGGCGTGTCATTTTAAATCGAGGGCTGTAAAAGGCATCTCTCTCCTCAGCAAAGAATAATGATCACACAGTTAGCTGACAGCACTACATTATTCCTAAAAAAGAAACAAAACTGACTTCTGTAGCCAAAAGTGTGATTCAAGAGTTCACCAAAGCCTGTGGTTTATGTCTCAGTATCAGAAATGTGAAATTATGGCTATTAAAGAATGTTCCAAATCTGAAAATCCAAATATCCCAAACAAAATGGAAATACAATATTTAGGTATTTTGATAATAAGACATCAGGGCATGAGAAGCAACTCCAATTTCAATCCAATATTACAAAAAAACTGTGGCTTTGATGAGATTTATCCATAAAAGGAAGAGTCCTTCTCACCAAGGCAGAAGGGATCTCACGTTCTTTCGACTTCTTAATGATAAAACTCTAACAGAGAGTGACAAGACGCTTTTTGGCTTTAAAAATAGGACTCACTACTTGAGCAAAGCTGTTGTTGTGAATCCTTATGAAAGAGGAAGTCTTCACTTTAGGGATTTTCAGACCTTAAACAATACTTTTCAAATTAATTGGATAAAACAGATGTTAAAAGACACTACTTTTGTATGAAACATTATCCCTTTCGCTTTGTCCTAATGGGTGGTATAGATTTTTTTTTCTTATCTGCAATTTTCACATGGATAAAATTCCTGTGAAAATGTCAGCTTTTCATCAGCAGGTCTTTCTTTCAGGGTCTCTCATCTACAAACAGAACTTTACTCCTCACCACTATATGATCTGGAATAACAAAGCTATTTTATACAAACACAAATCTCTTTTTATGGAATACTGGTTTCAAAACAACATTAAATGGGTTGATTAACTATTTAATGAGGAGGGGTTATTGTTTACCTATGGAGAATTTCTTCAAAAACACAATATCCCTGTTACTCCTGGAGATTTTGCAAAAGTATTTGGGGCTATCGTCTCTGGTATCTGCATGTTGTTTAAAGCTCTACTTCAGTTAGATAATGACAAACTTAATATTAAAGCTGTCAAAGACACAGCGGGTGGGGGGAGTCTGCTTTTCAAGTCATTCTACAAAAAATAACAAAGCTATACGAGCCAAAATGATATAACAACAATACCGAGTGTTATCTCACGTTGTAAAATGTTTGTGGATGTTAAACCATGGTCCAAGAGATATTATCTAATAACTAATAAGGTGAAAGAAGTTTAAAATAATCCATAAATTCTCTCCAGTGAAGTGTTAAATATATATATTTTTTTTTAAAGAATTAAATTGTAATTAGAAATAGATTTAGTAAAGCAAAAAATACTGAGATTGTAGTTTTTGTGCAGATTCTCCTAAAACAGTCATTCCATTTATTACAGTCCATTTATTTATAACACAGTTATAAATCTTTTGATCTTGATGTCTAAATTCCACATTCACAGTAGTAAATTTTCAGGCAAGAAACCGCTTCACTGCTTTTTACAATCATTTAAAACAGTAAATTCTTTCAATTAGAGAGTCTGAAAATAAAAATGCACAAAAACTATAAAGATTTGCAATGCATTAAATATCCTCACATGAGCTGTGACCCACTGATGTATAATCTGTATAACCCCAACAACAGAATGCTGTTTATTACTTCCCATCTATCCTGTCCTCCTCCTTTTTCCCACTCTCTTATCTCTCTCTCTCTCTCTCTATTTCCTGCATAACAATACTTATTATATAATACTGATTGACATGTTTTCACTCTGTACACTTATGATACATGTTGATTTTGTACGACTGTCAGCTGTAATAAAAGTATTACATTAAAAAAGGTCATTTGACAAAATATCATAAGACAAAGTGTCATATGACATTTTGTCTTATGATATTTTGTCATCTAATTGTCATCATGACAAAACAAATGTTACAAAGGACAGAAGGTTAGCTGCTTTATTTGTACCCGTATGTTTTGCAGATTTATTTCTTATCAGTCTCGTCGTGTTTATATATAAATATATATACATATAAAGACACGATCAGACAAACGTACTAAAATCGATAAATAGATCGCAATTTATTCATTAGTACAACAGCAGCTGGAACGAAGCTCCTTTTAAAACGATTCATTTTTGATCTTGGGACTAAAAGCCTCAGACCAGAGGGAAGCAGCTGAAAGTCTGAGTTTAGTAGATGTTGCACATCTTTTATAACAGAGTCCAAAATGCATCTTTGGGTCTTACTGAGGTATGTCAAAACAATCACCTTACTTATTATCCATTTAACCGACTGATTCACGGAGTTCTTGTTTTTAGCAGAGACGCTCCCAAACCATGAGACCAATGAAAACATTAAAACTGATTCCATAAACGTTTTACAGAACAGTATCATCATGGTTCTGTCTACATGTTAGAAGGATAACTTCCTCAGACAATGGAGGCAAAAAACAATGAAATACGCGTATCGTTATTATTTATAAAGCAAAACATCGACAAACATCCCGAACACGTGCTGACTACATTACTGTTCAACAAGGTAATCTACCTATTTAAAAGCCAAAGACGGGATACGTACCTCGCTAAACCTTTTCCTCAGCTCAGACGCAAAACAAAATGAGAAAACTAGTTTCGGTTTTCAGATGACGAGTAGAGCCGCTCCCCCCTTAGTGCTCTCATCAGACCAGTCTAGACCACAGACCTGGCAGCCGGTGTGTGGGCGCCCTTTGCTGGTGTCCTGTCGCAACTTCAGCCCTGTTTTGTTTTAAAGGTCCTATATTACGCAAAACTGACTCTTGTGGGTTTTTTGCACTGTTATTTCCTCACAAACAGACCTCGAGTTGTGTCTGCGCCCATTCACACATCCTAACATGACTGAAAGCCCACAAGAGTTAGTTTTGTGTGATATAGGACCTTTAAATAAATGAATAAAAGAACCAATGTCTTGAACGGATTTTTGAAATTAAAAGATCCAAAAGAGTCTTGTGTGCAGCTCCGTGCCTCTTCTGCCTCTGATGCCCCCCTCCCCAACCTCCATTTTCCCTGTGTGTCAGACAGTGTTGGGGAGTAACAGACAGTGTTGGGAAGGTGACTTTTAAAATGTAATCCCCTACAGATTACAGATTACATACCACAAAATGTAGTTTGTAACGTAATCCATTAAATTATTTAAAGTGAGTAATGTAATCTGATTACTTTGGATTACTTGATTTGCTGTAGAGAAACAAAGACGAGGAAATCGTAACATAAGACGTTTTGTCTGATAAAAGAAAATAAAAAGCCCAGACTTTACTAAATTAAAAATGTATTGATAGAAAAGGATGTGGGTGGTCTGGTCTGGTCTGTGGTCTGGTCGTGGTGGTCTGTGGTCTGGTCTGTGGTCTGGTCTGTGGTGGTCTGTGGTCTGGTCTGTGGTCTGTGGTCTGGTCTGTGGTCTGGTCTGGTGGCTGGTCTGTGGTCTGGTCTGTGGTCTGGTCTGTGGTCTGGTCTGTCTGGTCTGTGGTCTGGTCTGTGGTCTGGTCTGTGGTCTGGTCTGTGGTCTGGTCTGTGGGCTGGTCTGTGGTCTGGTCTGTGGTCTGGTCTGTGGTCTGGTCTGTGGTCTGGTCTGTGGTCTGGTCTCTGGCTGGTCTCTGCTCTGGACTCAGAGTGAGCCGGAGTGCGTCCCTGAGTTTGGACACAGCTTTGGTCACTTCTTCACAGAATCCCTGGCCCTCTGTGTGAATGGTGTCTGGCTCTGCTCTGTGTGTCTGTGGACAGTGAAGCGTAGACCTGTATAAACTGGTTATGATCCTGGGTGTGGGCCAGTGTGTCCAGCTCAGAGAGGCTCCTCTTCAGCCCCGTCACGTCCTGGTGCAGTTGGTCCTGGAGCTCTTGGACTCGTCTCAGTTGGGTCTGCTCCTGGGAGCGGATCTGCTGCTCCAAATCAAATCTCCAGGAGAAGCTGTCCACGCTGCGCTGCTGTCTGGGCAGAGCATCTGATGTCCTCGGCCTCTTTGTGCTGGAGGGAGGGAGCAGAGCAGGCGCTGGTCACTGCAGCAGAATAGATCCATCAGCTTGCTGTGTTGAGAGCAGATGTTTTCCTGGAGCCTGTGGGAGGGCGCCACCAGCTGGTGTGTCTGTAATGCTGCAGCTTCATAATGAGGCTGTAGGTGGCACTCACAGAATGACATCACACACTGCAGACAGGACTGGACAGCTCTCAGCTTCCTCTCAGTGCACACATCACAGGACATATCCTGAGGTCTGGCATAGCAGCAGGCAGCAGGGGGCACTGTCTCCTTCATCTGCTCTACTAAACCTGCTCACATGATGGTTTTACCCAGGGCAGGCCTGGGGCTGAAGCTCTGGTGATATTCAGGACAGCTGTAGAGCTTCTTCTGTTCCTCTTGGTCCCAGTGCTGCTGGACACAGTCGCTGCAGTAGCTGTGTCACAGGATCCTTCAGTAGTTCCAAACACACGGAGCAGAAAAAGGCTTCTTGGTTGAGTTCTTTCTGCGCCATCTCTCCTGGATGAAACTTCCACACACACGAAACTTAAGGGCCAGAGAACTGTGGGAGGAGCCCGCGTTTTATGTAACACCACGTTGTTTCATATCGTTTGTTCATCTCTTCATGTGTGTCAAGACTATTTACAGACAGATGCAGTCAGACTGTGCAGAGTGTTTCAGGTTTGTCTCCCTTGAAATGGCCCACACCTTGAATAGTTGTAATTCCACATGTGAATCCTGAGGCCAAACCAGACTGTATAAAGAAGTGTGACGTCACCCAATGTTCAGCTCTATATTAGGAATAGGATTTTCTTTAACAAACAAAATAGTGAAACTGTCTGCAGTCCATATCCATGTCCACTCATGTCGCAACAAACAATAAACCTGCTTTCAGTGCCCTAACTCACAAGGCTTTTTTTTCTACAACGTGAAAAGTAAAGGAACGGAGAAGTTGGAAACGTAAGTAAAAGTAATTTATTGTTTTATCATTACTCGTTTCACGTTGTAGTTCTTCTACTTGCCGCTTGATCGGTCCTTTGGAAAATAGAGTCCCGCGGTCACTTCCGTTGTGGCATTTTAATGTGTCGTGGCTTTTTGTTGTGTTGTGGCATTTTAATGTGTTGTGGCTTTTTAATGTGTTGTGGTATTTGTGTTTGTGTTGTGGCGTTTGTATTTGTTGCGGCGTTTGCATTAAAATAGAGTCTCTCTGTCATTTCCGTTGTGGCTTTTTTTGGTTTGTTGTGGCTTTTTGTTGTGTTGTTGCATTTGTATTTGTTGCGGCGTTTGCGTTTGTTGTGACCCCTCTCGGCTTCCGTACTGACCAGCTCTCCAGGGCAAATATCACTTTCCGAGGTAACACCTATACAGTTCTTAAGCCTAAGTGATACAACTCTTCAGTAGAGTCGACTTATTCCTGTAGCGGTGCTTTGGCTTTCTGAATGTCTTGTTTCACTAAAATAACTCCATACAGCCAAGTTTCCTGCAATTCTCACCCTGCATAACAGTGAGAAATGACTCCATTTGTTCCCAATCAGATTTCACAGTTAAACCTTCCAGTGGTGCGAGTTCCAGTGCAGCATCCACTTCAACACTCGGCATCTGAGACAAGTTCATCAATAGGCGAGTTTCAGCTGACGTCATTGTTATTAAAAGCCCGCGTTGCTGCTGGGAAATATTTTGGTCGGAGGGAAGAAACACAGTAGCGTCAAACACAGTGCGTAACCTCGTGTATTTCTCCCCGATAATGGTAAATTCCTGCTGCATTATCGGATGCACAAATAGAAGCACGGAAGAAGGAAAATGTTTTTCGTATTCTGAGTGAAAAGAACCACTAACGGTGAATTAAACGCCTTTCAAACATTCGCAGAGCAAACGTAGAAGATCCTAACAAACCGTGGACTCCAACAAGTTCAACAACACATCGAGACTCTTGGAGGTTTTCATCTTTTCTGCTGTGAATGGCCCAGGAGTTTCCACCAAGTCATTGTGGATATCGCCCAAGTGAATATTTGTCCAGGTAGTTGGAGATTCAGACCAGAAATTTTGGTTTCCACCTTTTGTCGGGGTTGAAAAGGGTGATTTGTCGTCCATCGATGCTTATGACCAATTTCTGGTCAAATGGTCTTGGGTCCTCTGCCGTTAGAGTGGATAAATAACCGGGATCAATACCCTTTACGTGCTTTCTCGCTCCGTCCGTCATGTTGAATTAGTGTTTATTGCCGCCGAACAAAATAGTTCCCAGCATGCAACGCACGCTTTTGTCAACAATGAAACTCGCCTATAGAAGCTGAGGCTTTGGTGCGTCCTCCCTGAGCGGCTTCAATTCTTACTCGTGTAGTCACCACTGATATAGCAAAAAAGTACAAAAACCAAAACGCAGGTTGGTCAAACTAAAGTGACTATGTAAACGATGCCAGCTACAGCATATTAGATGGATAAATTAAGTTCCTTGTTTTAAATTTAACAATCTCACAGAGCGATCCAAAAACACATCTCACATGACTGTCACCCCATTACAGTACACAATTTATTTTTTTATTCAAGTTTTTATTTTATTTTACAATTTTTAACATATAACATAACAGACAGCAGCACATTACTTTGGGCTGAAGGAGTAAAACAACAAATTTATCTGTACATATGCAAATGCAAGTGCACTCCAGAGCAAAAATAAACAATAAAATAAAAATGTCAAAGTGCATGTGACAAGCCTCCACTCCTCTCTAATTTCTACTTAGTTTAACCTGTTACAAATACAATTAGTTTTAATTCTAAATAAAAAGGCCAAATCAATACCACATCTATAAAGTGCAAAAAACAAAGAAATGTGTTTTAGTCAATTGAGCAATCAAACCTGTCACAGGCATTTCAATCAAAAACAGGTGCCCAAGATTTTACAAAAATGTCCATGTTATCATTCAACTGAGCCAATAATTTCTCATATGAGACTATTTTCATCAAATTGTCCATCCATCTGTTAAAGTCTGGAGGAGAAGGATCCTTCCATACACCAAGAATTACCCATGCTGCAGTTATTACCACCACCTTTAAAACCACATACTTGCATTTTGTTACCCCTGGCATTACTGATTTATCCCCAAGTAAACATGGTTTTACCAATCCACCTTTCTATACATTCTAGTTCTCTCTCCCAAAAGGGATAAACTTCCCCACATTCCCAAATAGCAGCATAAAGGTTCCAGAGGCCAAATGGCATTTCCAGCAATTGTCATTCGTCATGAGCCTCATTCTTTTGAGTTTAGATGGGGTAAAATACCATCGATGTATAAGTTTATACTGGGTAAATTTCCCTCTAGCCTCCTTTATACCTTTCCCAGAGTCTGAAAGTATCACAGTACACAATTTCTAAGTAATTTTGTTGATAGCTTGTGATAAGATCTTTATAAATTAGCACTCTCTTTTAGTTAGTTTGGTGTTTTAATGATAAAGAACACATGACAAGGACGAGTTAACTTAATAACTGTTACAAACCAGTGCAGGGACAAAGGAAAGTAACACAAACAAGAAGTGATGTAAAGTAAGTGGCTTTTATAGACTAAATGTAAGTAAGTACAATGACATAAAAAAGGTGTTTTACATTTGATAAATCAAAAATTCCCAATACAACGACACAATAACTCTAATGGGATGAAGAGAAATCAAAGAAAATACAAATGCCCAAGGGCCGAGCCAACCTGACAGTTACAAAAACAACAAAACGATAGGTCAATAACGACTTCTAGTGTCTGAAACAGTTAGGAACAGGAGGCAACAAGAGACTCGTCTATCAAGGAGTGCGGCGAGCTGAAACTGAAATCCAGCCGCGAGGAGGAGCACAGGACGAGGTGTTGCCGGATCAGGAGTGAACAGGAGGAGAGGGATGTTAATCCTCCAAACACAGCATGACAAATATCAGAGCCAATCTAACAATAACAGTGCCACACCCCACCAATTATGTGCCAGGTACCAGACAGGACATGAAAATACAGAGGAGGATACAAACTGAGAGCGCCGGGCAAAGCGGAGCCAGACCGCGAGCCGTAACAACAATGAAATGTATTGAGTCATTCACATTTACCAAAATTCATTTTGCACAAATAGGGCAGAACACCTTCACAAATTTTGGATATAGTCCGGTTCCTTATAGACTTTTGTGGGAATTTTTTGGGGATTTGCTAACCTATATATTTTTGGAAAGGTTATAGTATATGGAGTCAGAAAATCAATGTTTGCATTTGCCCACATGTCTTTATGGCGGCCATATTGGATTTAAAAAAAAAAATGGCCGCCAAAAAACCCTTTTTGGAATATCTCAGCCTCTGAATAAGTTGAAATGTTGATTTTAACTGCTAAACCCACATTTTCAGGGTCAGGGAATCAAATGGTGCTAGTTACAAAGCTGTAAGACCTACCCACATTAACCCTTAGATGAATAAGTGGGTCAAAAACATTTTAAGACCAAAATGTTGAGGCTCACTGCAGCAGGTATAGAGAGAGGAGCCACAAGATCCTAATGTAAGTCCATTGGAGCCAGAGTCAGAAGGAGCTGGAAGAGCCTCCTGGAGAACTTCCTGTTTGGCACATGGCGGCTACAGTGTTAGATCTGTCCACTCATATATACAGTCTATATACATATATACAGTCTATATACATATATACAGTCTATGTACATATTACAGTCTATGGTTGTATGAAAGTGATGATGATGATGTATAGAAAATGTATCATAAAAAAGTTGTGCAATCATATTGTGTCTAAATGTGTGTGTTTACATCCAATATCCAAATTTTATGTTAGCTACTTTTAAACTCTTTGAGTTATCTGACCAGCTGCATGTGATGTTTATAATTTGTTTTACCCATATTGTTTATGTATTTCAGCAGGATAATAATAAAAAAAAAAAGAGAACATGTTTTTGGAGGAACATGGAGTATTACATGTGAATATTACAGTGAAATTGCAAGAAAACAACCAAACCGGGTCATTTTTGACCCACTTATTCATCTAAGGGTTAATGTGGGTAGGTCTTACAGGTTTGTAACTAGCACCATTTGATTCCCTGACCCTGAAAATGTGGGTTTAGCAGTTAAAATCAACATTTCAACTTATTCATAGGCTGAGATATTCCAAAAAGGGTTTTTTGGCGGCCATTTTTTAAAAATCCAATATGGCCGCCATAAAGACATGTGGGCAAATGCAAACATTGATTTTCTGACTCCATATACTATAACCTTTCCAAAAATATATAGGTTAGCAAATCCCCAAAAACTTCCCACTAAGGTCAAAAAATGACAATAAGGAACCGGACTAATATGTTCAAACCCGACATCTAGTCTTTCTAAAACGGTCCATTTTATGTTGGTGGGTGCTGTCATTTTTTTGGTTTAACATGGTGAAGATGGCACCAAATTTAATTTTTTTCCATTTTTAACTCTTAATATCTTGTAGATCGTTCATCACAGAGGGTCAGTTTTAAAATACAATGTCCACAGCGTGTGTGGGAAGGTTTATGTTCAATATCAAACCTCTGTCTTTGAAATTGCACTTTCCACAGTCCTTCAAAGACGCCCTCATAGTTGAAGAGTAGAATTTTTTAGTTTTTGAGCAAATTCAAGTCCCAGAAATCTGTGATAAACCAAAAAGCACATGTGTAAAAGTTCAGATTCTACAAGTACATTTGACAAAGTTTAAGACTTGAAAATTTGAAGGATCGACCTTAAGTTTTTTAGATACAACAATCTGAAAGTGGCTCCTCTGCTCAAAACAGGTCGGGGGGACTTGACAAAATATGTATTAATGACAAAACTAGAAGGACTTGGGAGCTAAAATTTGGGACTTTTTCTATTGGAAAGTGTGTGAACCTCAGTCAAATCTGAAACGGTCGAGCGGGCGCATTCGGAGATTTGGTGTGGAATGACACTATTGAGAATGTGTTGTTTGGGCTTTAATTTATTTTATTCACAACTGACTGCAATGATAGTTCTGATAATTATTTATGGTAGAAACTCTGGTGTTAAACTGAATTTGTAATAGATTTTTAATGAGCTTATGGACGGTAATAAATGGTTTACCTTAAAGTGCACAGCCACAAATCAATAACATGTACTGATTCTCGTGCAATGGATTTGATCAGTGGTACAGAGTATACATTATTTTACAGGTCTGAAGTATTACTGCTACAACTACTACTGCCACTACTACTGCTACTACCATTGCTACTACACTTCTTACCAGTGTTACATATTTGAAAAACCTTCTGAAGGATTTTAACTTTGACTTTTGACTGTGATGTTTGGATACTCTGTACACCAGTGGTGCTCAATACGTCGATCACGATCTACCAGTCGATCGCCAAGGTTGTGTGGGTAGATCGTCGTGTCTCGTCTCAGACTCGCGTTTGGACTCGGTCTTGTCTCTCACTCGAGGTCTGACACTCAACAAGTGTGATCATATTTCATTTCGGCCGCTGCTGTTGGTAATAAACTTGTAGCGGGT